CAAGAGTATTCCTAGATCCTTCAATGAAGGTCCTGGATAACCTACAGTTGGGGACATCGACGTCACATACGCGGATCAGGGTACATGTCTGCCATCTCCAGTGCTGGTTGACAGGATAGATGGGAGGGTGGCGGGTGATGAGGAGGAGCCTTACCTACAAGACGTGACAGTTCTGGTTGAAGATGGTGTACAGGCATGTGTTGTTACGGACTATAATAACAAGTGTGTGAAATCTTTCTTCACAAGAAAGAATCATTCATGCCATAGTAAGCTTCCCCTGGATAATTCTCCAAACGGGATTACACAGTTGAATGAGAAGCAGGTGATGGTTGCTGTCCCAGACTCCGCTATCTGGCTGTTCTGAATCCTTCCTGTCTGGCAGCAGGTGGTTGCGGCTGTGTTGATATCCTGGACATGGCTGGACACGTGTTGAGGTCAGTCACCACATACAATGATGACTCACTGTTTACCAGCCCAATCGACATGTGTGTCAACAACAAGGGCAACCTACTCGTGTCTGACTGTGGGAAGAAGTCTGTGACATGTCTAACGTCAGAGGGGGATGTTGTGTGGAAATACTCGCCTACCGGAGACAAAGCACTCAGCAACCCTCGTGGTGTCACAACTACCAGCACAGGAGATATCTTGACTATGGACTGAGGCACTGACAAGGTGGTACAGCTGACAGAGTCGGGGGAGTTTATTGAAGAATTGACCATGTTTGAAGAGGAGGAGGAGGAGCATGATGATGATGATGATGATGATGATGATGATGATGATGATGATGATAATGATGACGACGACGACGATGATGATGATGATGCGGTGACAAATACGGTTTCTTATTTCTGTGTACAGACACGGAAGTGAAAGAGTACATCTTTGTCTGACATAAAAAACAAAAGAATGAAAGTTAGTGCAGAGCTGTGGTTTAAGCGTTTGTCATTGACTGCTCGTGACATACTGTGCATTGGGTTAGTCTGGAAATGTTTGTCATCGCTTTGTCAGTGAATTGCAGACATGCAACATTCAAAGAGGTCATTTCCAGCATGAAGTGCAATAGTCCAGTGGAACATGGTTATAGCTGTTGGGAAGATTCCTCGGATGACCTGAGCTACACAAAGACTACTTGCTCTCAACAGTGTGCTGAACCTGGTGTTACCTTAAGGATAAACGTCCTGGGCACAACTGAAGTGTAAACAGACACAAGAATAAATATAGGTGATTGATTTATTGTTATTTAACCCCGCAGTCAGCAATATTCCAGCTATATGGCGGCGGTCTGTATTGCGGCGGTCATATATTATTGAAAGAGGTCATTTCCAACATGGAGTGAAATAGACCACATGATCACCAGGTGAAACACACCATCTTTTGAGGAGATTCCTGGAATGACCTGAGCTACACAACGACTATTTGATCTCAATAGTGTGCTGAACATGGTGCTACCTTAAGGATTAACGTCCTGGGGACAACTGAAATGTGAAGAAACCACAAAGAGGAAACATATCTCTCCGTTCAAGGCATGCATAAAACCCAGGAGACATATATACGTAGCTTAATGATGGATGGACGAGGGTTACACCAGCCACAAAACGTTTGGTCAGTTTTCGGAGTTTCTTCCTCACAGAGTAGACAGTATTGATACACGTGATCTTCATCAAAACCAGAGGATATAGCTTACATCGTCCAGAACAGACAAATATAATTTGTTATAGGTCGCTTCCAGCAATTAGATGGACTGCATGATTACTGAGTGAAACACATCAGTGGTGATAGTGGTTGTGTAACAAAGCACGATAAAGTATACCACTTATAGTTAAATGCCGAAGCATGTCGTAATAACAAAAACAAAAACCACACACAGGAAAGAAGATCCATTATAGCCTAAGTGGGCTTTGTTCAAAATAAAGGTATTTGTGCGTTTTGTTTACCGGCACCCAGAGCAATATTCCAGCTGACAATCCAAACTGAGTGCAGGTAGTAATAATTATTCCTTTTCATTGATAATTTTTTTATAAAGTTTGATTTTATTTCATTTGATTAATCAGCCTGATTAGCAATGTGGGCCTTGGCGTCGAGCCAGACGAGACAAAACTGTTACATTCATGATCCAAATAGGGCGATGGGGCTGCTTGAATTTTAACTGTATAAAAGGTATGTTTATATGGAAAAGGTATTACTATATGCTGATTTCTGTGAAATATAGCAAGAGTTTCAGCTTCATCGTGGATGTTGCATTTAAACTTTATGCTTGACATTGTGTAGGAACATGACAGTTGCAAACAGGAAAGCTGCAACATCTAGTTCAGATTTCATACCTCGGGAGGTGATATCATGAACTCAACTTCTATTTGAAGTACCAAATCATTTGCTAGCATCATCGAAAACTGTTCACTAAAGTTGGGGAATATTTCATCACTTTTTCCCAAAACAAATGCAAAGCAAAATAACTAAAACATACTGGAGAATTTACAAACGTAATGTTTGACACTGAATATGCTCATCGTGGATTGATTTATGTCGGGCACAACACATATTATCAACATGAAACATCCGGTAAGAAAAGGCTAATAAAAGAAATCATCCCCATTCTGTACATAGAAAATATTTCACTTTTTGCATGAATCTTGGAATGGCAGAGAAAACCATTAATCTATTAGCCTGATATGCGGGTGATCTTAATTGTCACAATGTCAGGGGGATGTTATTATTTCTGTCCTGTTTGTTTGTCTCTTGTTTAACGCTCAACTCAGCGATATTCCAACTATATGGCGGAATATTGTAAATAATCGAGTTTGGACCGGTTAGTCCAGTGATCAACATCATAAACCGAGAGAGCGAGAGACATTGATGCATCGTGTACGTGCCGAATGCTGCTCCGCCTGCACCTCTACAGCAACAGCTGACCTCGGCCTGATAAACATATGCTTCTCAATGTGTCTATGTCAGTATAACATTTTGAATACCTTTTTTTGCCACTGTAATGTTTAAAATTAGAATTTGAATAAACAAGGTGTTTTTCTCTTCTATTAGTATTCAGAGAGGTCAATGTTCGTTGATTATGGCTTGTTGTTTAACGCCGCACTCAGCTACGTTCCAGCTATATGGCGGCTGTCTGTAAATAATCGAGCCTGGACCAGACAGTGATCAGCATTATGAACATCGATCTTTGCAACCGTGATACGATGACATGAGCCAACCAAGTCAGCCAGCCTGTCCAACCGATCCCGTTAGTCGCCTCCTACGACAAGCCGACAAGCATGGGCTACTGAGGATCAATTCTAACCCGGATATTCACGGGTCAGAGAAGTCAATGGGTGTTATAAGTAACAATTACACAACACATGCATTTCAGTTCTTGGAAGGCATTTAGAAGTTGGATGAACATGAATACATGTGAACGGTCACTTACTGTTTAGATACGTGTTCAAACTCAGTATACGTATGTGTAAAAGATTAAATCGCTCGTTGGGAAACACAGGGAGTAGGTGTAGGACAGGGAAAGAATTGTAACCAGTATTGTTTATGTTGTTTCAAAGATTTTCTGAAAGTTGCTCTAATGGACATTTAGTTTTTTTGCCAATTTAATGCATCAACGTTCTCTTTTGGTTATGTTGACACATTATCTGAATTTCTTGTAAGCATACCAACACCGGGTGCTTGCATTATAAACCTAACCCTATTTTTGTCCATTTTATTGAAGAGGTAGCTTAAAACCTTGGAATAATCTCCATTTGTAGGTTTTATCAGTGGTAAAACCCGGTTAGAGGTGTTACTTTTTTAATAAAAACACCCCTAACCGGGTTTTACCAGTTATAATACCTGTGACAAGATAAAATAACAAAATTCAAAAGATAAAATTGTATATTTAATTATTAACTGCTTAAAGCTTAGAGTGACATGGAAAGTTTTGTGCCAGTCAGTAGATGGGATTTCGGGTTGTGAACAAGCCTCTCCAACAGCACATTCTGGCTGTGGGTCGGTCTTTGTAACCATGGTTACAGTGGTTTGCGGGTGGGCCTCGGCTGGTCTTGACTATTCAGATGTCAGACACTGCAGCTTTCTGGTCTTCAGATAACCGTTTGTACACCCTTACTGCCTCACTGCGATGTCCTAGACAATAGAAATATTTGTTACATATGTTATACTGGGATTATGCTTTCTTAGTAAAGTACAAATTCTAGTACACAAAGTCAGCCGCCTAACCCGCTCAGCCAGCGCGACTTCCACAAAAATGGAAGTTGGACAACTGGTAGTCTGTGTGCTGGCGATTTTGTGCCTGACTCTGAGGGTGTTGGTTCGAATCTCGGATCGGACTCAACCCCAAAAAAGAGCATTGTGTAATCAGAAATATTTGTTATTTATACACCTTCAACAAAGTGTTTTCAGTAAATTCTGTAGATTCCAAGATCAGATCACATCCATATTTTAACAAGAGATTTGAATCATATACTAATGCCAATAATGGTTGTCACCCCCTCCCCACCCCAACCCCACACACCTCACCCCCACACCCTCCTCAATTAAAAAAATTGAAGGAGGTGACAACCATTATTGGCATGAGTATATAATATACTTTTTTATTATATACTGTTTTCGGGCTAAAGCCCTCGGGCTGTTTCCCTCCCTTTAGGTTTTTCTTATACACAGACGTGTTTTCTCCTTCACGTCAACAAAGGCCGATAAGCGCCCAGCGGAGAGAACACTTCCGGAAAAGGTCGAGTTTAACCGATTGCAGCAAACCACACCCGAACACACAGCCAGCCGAAAGGTAGACTTAAGTCATTGCTTGTGATTTTCTGTAAAGTACAATTTGTTAAACTGACAACTGATACCATTTATTGTGTTTTGTCAAATGTTGTTCATTATCTGATAGAAATATACAGATATGACTACATCTTGAAATCAGTGATAATTGTGAGGGTAAGTTCTCTACTTTCGTTATCACTTTATACGATATCGTCGCGATGGTGTTGTAACACGTAGTACTGGAGCTGAGTAGGTAAATCCAATTATACAAAGGTATTGTCGTTGACTGATTCATGGACTTGAGTAATAGTGTCCAGGTGTACTTTTAATAGATGTATACGTTCAATCGTTCCTCCTACGTACCGTGTTTTTTGCGATACCTTACTACTGCTGGCTGCGGGGCTTGCCGATCATGTGTAGTGTTAGTGTTTGTCTCTGAAAAGGGTTGAGGTTAAAGGTGAATGAATAGACACCATGTATAGTGGTGGCGGTGCAGGTATGTCGGTTGTGTTCTCCACGCCTGAAGTGCATGTATCTGGCAGGAACGTAGGTTTGGGTCGAGAGTCCCTGTTAACCTGGTCCCGATACTGTATAGCAGTAACATTATCCTGGATGACAATCGGCTGAGATCGACCATTGGCACGAATATGCTCCCAAGATTATTAAGTACATGCATGGTCAATACTATGGTAACTATGATGACGTAAATAAGATCTGACATTGACCTGTTCATTGATTTGTGTCATAGTCAGTGTTCAGGTATAATTTCGGTGAGGGTGTCCATTCAATCGTTCCTCCTACTGTGTTTTGTGCGATACCTAACTTCTGGTTATAAGGGGGCGTGTAGACCATGTGCGTTCTTGGTTATTGTTTGCCCTTGAAAAGGGTCGAGGTTAAAGGTGAGTAATTAGATTAAATACATGTATATGTACATGGTACATGATCCAAGTCGTGGCGGAGCAGATATGTGGGTTGTGTTTTCCACACCTGAAGTGCATATATCAGGCAGGAATGTAGGTTTGGGCCGAACTACCCTGTTAATATCCCGTTCAATATAGACAGTCAGAGAAAACACTGTGTATGTGGAAATGGAAGGCCAGTTCATGACATCAACACCAGCGTTAGTAACAACAGGGTGGGGCTCGACGTTGTCATAGTAACATGTCAATCTCTACCAAAATTGGTGTGTGTGTGTGTGCGCACTACCCATCAAAAGTTTAGACTCACTCTCTCTCTCCCTCGCTCTCTCTCTCTCTCTCTCTCTCTCTCTCTCTTTCTATATATATATATATATATGTGTGTCTGTGTGTGTGTCTGTGTGTGAGTGTGTATGTATATACAGTTAGATACATAGAGAGATAGACAGTATGATAGACATCCGTATATATTTGAAGTGTGTCCGTGCGTGTGTTAGTATACAGCTTCACATGCAGATGCGTGTATGTTCAGATCTTTCATTGCTGCTTATGGAATCTGTAGTGAGTAAAGCGTAATTTATTTGTGTTAAACTAAACAGGCACAAACTGCATGTGTGTCTTACAGATGGCGACCGCCGGGCTAGAGAAGAAAGTAAAGGATAATTTCCTGACGTGCTCCATCTGCTTGGAGATGTACACAGACCCGTGTACACTGAGGTGTGATCACACATTCTGCAGGAAATGTGTCACCTCATACATCCAAACCAGACCTGATGCTGTACAGTCCAAGACCATCCCCTGTCCCTGCTGTCGACAAGATACCAAGGTCCCCCACCCCAGCAGGCCGGTGAAGGAGTGGGCGGGGCAGATCAAACCCAGCATCATTATAGAGGGGCTGATTGACACCTATAGATCCGAGGTGGCTGTGCCAGGTAGAGTGAAAATATTTTATGCGCGTGTGCGTGTGCGTGTGCGTGTGCGTGTGTGTGTGTATTTAAAACCAGTGGTAGACTTAACATTAGCCTTTTAAGATTGCGATGAAAATAAGTACATATGTACTTGTGTTTACAGGAACCTCAAGCACCTGTTGTACGATCTGTCAGCAACTAGGGGAAACAACTCCAGGGGTCTTGTGGTGTCCTTAGTGTGAAGTGGTCCTCTGCGACAAATGTGTGAAGATACACCGGGTGACCCCTGTTTCACTGAACCATGATATGTGTGACCTGTCGTCTAGGTCAAAGGTCAAACGGAGGATCAAGTGTACGGAACACAAGAGTAACCGTGTTGAGTTCCACTGTCAAGACTGTGGGAAAGCTGCCTGTCAGACATGTTGTATCATCTACCACAGAGCTTGTAAAACTGTCGTCACCATTGAGTCTATGAAGCTAGGGATGAAGGCAGCACTGATGGAGAAGAGACTTGGCATAGAAAAGAGACTGAAAGTGAGGTCGAAGAAAGTAGACATACGAAACGAGAAGCTCCAAAGTAATTCTAGAATCACAGAGTCAGCTGTTCAAAATATTAGATTGATCTGCCAGACAGCGATTAACAAGATTAAACAGAAAAAAACACAACTCTTGGATGAACTGAATACCATATCACAGACATACGCCGACCAACTCCAAGCTGATGTGAAGGTGGAAGAGATCGAGATGCAGATGTACAGACAACATTGCGAGTTCATTGACCAGGCCTTGGTATCGGACTGTGAGATGGACCTGTATGACGCGTATCAGGCCTGGAAGTCTGGAGCTGTAGAGATGGAGGATGTCAGGGATACAGAGGCAGCAGACACCCGGAGAATAGATCACATCGGGTTTACACCTGACACTGACAATGTCCTTAAGGCCCTAGATAACCTGCAGTTGGGGAAGATTGACGTCACATACCGGGATCAGGAGCATTGTGTGCCATCTTTAGTGCTGGTTGACACGATAGACAGGAGGGTGGAGGATGATGATATGATGAACTATTTCTTTTCTTGGCTGACAGTCCTGACTGTAGGTGATATGCAGACATGTGTCGTCACTTACGATTCTAACAATTTCCTGAAATCTTTTTACACTAGAGACAATCACCCATGCCACAGTAAGCTTCCCCTGGATAACTCTCCACGTGGGATAACACAGTTGAAGCAGAAGCAGGTGATGGTTGCTGTCCCTGAATCCCGCCAGATTGTAACAGTAGAAGTGACCCCCGACCTGGTGCTGCTTTCTATCATCAAAACACGTGCCGAATACTACAGTCTTGCTGTTCTGAATCCTTCCTGTCTAGCAGCAGGTGCTTGTGGATGTGTTGAGATCCTTGACATGGCTGGACACGTGGTGAGGTCATTCACTACATACAATGATGACTCACTGTTTACCTACCCCTGGCACATGTGTGTCAACAACAAGGGCAGCCTACTCGTGTCTGACTGTGAGAAGAGGTCTGTAACATGTCTGACGTCAGAGGGGGATGTTTTATGGAGATACAACCCTACCGGAGACAAGGCACTCAGCTACCCTTATGGTATCACAACTACCAGCACAGGAGACATCCTGCTTGTAGACAGAGACACAGACAAGGTGATACAGCTGACAGAGTCGGGGGAGTTTGTCAGGGAGCTGCTCACGTTAGAAGATTTTGGTGAGACAGGCATATGCGATATATTTTGTGATAAATACGGATTCTTATTTCTATGCACAGACACGGAAGTGAAAGAGTACATGTTTGTCTGACATAAAACAAAAGAATGAAAGTTAGTGCAGAGCTGTGGTTTAAGCGTTTGTCACTTTAATGCTCGTGATCTACTGTACGTGGGGTTAGTCTGGAAATGTTTATGTATTCACCAAAACGTATGAGCATCGCTTTGTCGGTGAATTGCAGACATGCAGTATTCAAACAGGTCATTTCCCAGGATGAAGGGAAATAGTCCACATGATCACCAGGTGAAACACACCAGCTGTTGTGGAGATTCCTGGCCATGACCTGAGCTACACAACCACTACTTGATCTCGCCGCCTCCATGGTGTAGTAGTTAGAGCGTCCACACGGAGAGCGGAAGGTCGCGGGTTCGATCCCTGACCGCGTCATACCAAAATACGTTAAAATATGGTACAAGTTGGTCCCTGTCTGGCGCTCGGCATTAATGGGTACAACAAGGACTGGTCGGCTCGGAGTCAGTATAATGTGTCTGTGTGGGGTATTCATGCTTCACTGCGGCATGGTATCTCAGTGGACTAGCACTATAAAACCAGCTTAAGTCTGGGCTAGTACAAGCAGCCGCACATACACATACACACGCATGCACGTCGTCATATGAGCGAAATATTCTCAAGCACGAAGTTAAGCCTAATTTCACCTCACCTCACCTACTTGATCTCAACAGTGTGCTGAACCAGCTGAAGTTTAAAGAAACCCCATGCATGAAACCCAGGAGACATATATACACAGACTGATGTGTGGATGGACTAGGACCACAGGAACTCTGAAACTGTTGGTCAGTTTTCGGAGTTTCTTCCTCATAGAATATTCAGTATCCATATACACGATCTTCACCCAAACCTGATGATATAGCTTATATTGTCTAGTTGAGACATACCATATTTACTTACAGGTCACTTCCAGCAATTAAATGGACCGCATGATGACTCGATGAAACACATCAGTGGTGATAGTGGTTGTACCTACACTTAGACAGGACAATATGATCTTAACATAGTATGATACTGCATACCACTTATGGTTAAAAGCCGAGGCATGTGGTGAAAAGGAAACCTTACGTCTCTGCTCATGATCATGACTTGCGTGAAACGCTATCAACACAGAAAGGTGTATGGCATACGATCCAGTAGTCTGTCTCAGTGTCTGTGAACCACAGTTTGTCCCCTGTTGCTTAGCCCACCCTGTAATGCCAAAGCCATAAATGCACAAGTCTAGATTTCCTCAGGTCCAGGATCTCCCATCTCATCAGTGATCCTTATCTAGTTAATGGACCAAAACTATTTTACTTCACTTCATTCAATCTTGTGCTAGTTTATCACGAGTAAACCCAAGTATGGAGAAGATTGAGGCGCGCAGTGTTATCAAGTTTTTGCACTTGAAGGGTTGCACTTCTCCACAGATTCACGAGGAGATGGAATCTGTATATTGTGAAAATCTTATGATAGTGTTGTGAGATGGAAAAGGGATTTTCAAACCGGTCATATGCTCCTCACAGATGAGCCAAGAAGTGGACGCCGTTATGACGATATCAATGAGGTCATTCAAGAGGTTGGGTTGGTTTTCCATGAAATCCGGGGTTCTATTCAGGCGTCTGCACAAGGTCAAGAAATGTTAGGAGAACTCTGGATTGGGCCTGTGTATATAGAAGTCTTAAGTACAAGAAACCAAGATAAAGTTTTTACCCTGAATACGTCTTGGTGATAATTAGAATTTTTTTATACCCTCTCGTAACTCAAACAAGTGCTATGTGGATTAATTAAGCACTGTTCAAGGATTCATGACATATAGGCTATAGTTTTCATTTGTAACTTTAGATAGTGGAAAAGTTACAATCCAACAGTGGGTTGTTTCGGGGATCAAGATTAAATTTACACTTCAGAGTTTGCTAGTTTATTTGACCCGGCGTTAAACCGAGGCAACATTTTCTTTCTCAATATTCGTTCACTTGTCTTTTGTCAATGTCGATGTCGATGGGAATCACTTACAGAGCGTAAGGTATACACGTCATTAAATTCCTCCAAGAGCCTTTTGATTTATGTGATTCTTTAACAATAGTTTGACTTCATTTCGGGAGCATAACAGATGAGCTGCTTTGGATTATTTGCGTTTTCAAGGCAGTATGTCGTCGACTTTCGTCGAAACGTGGAAACGTATTTATATCTTGAGCATGACATAAATTGTCTAATATTCATTCTGAAACCGAACAAAAGAAACAAGAAAAATATATCCATAATATTCTATTTGGCTTTGTTAAAAAAGAAGGCATTTGTGCTTTTTGTGTAACGGCACCATGACAATAATAAGCTGACAATCCAAGCTGAGTTCAAGATGTGTTTATTATTCGTTTTCGATGATAGTTTCTGACTAAGGTTAGGTCGTTTTTCAGCCTGATAAGCAATGTCGTCCTTGACGTCTAGCGATACTAGGCAAAACGGTTACATTCATGATCCGGATAAGGCGATGGAAATTTGCTTGAATTTTCATTGTTCAAGCACGGGCTGTGATTGTGTTGCACGTGCATTACAACTTTAACTGGGTAAAAAGTATTTTCATATGGAAAAAGTAATAATATACGGATTTCTATGAAATACAGCAGGAGTTTCAGCTCCATCGCGTTTGTTGTTTGACATTATCAGATTATGTAGGAACAGAACAATTGCATACAGGATAGTTTAGACAGTACATCCCGGGGAGGTGATATCATGAACTCAATTTCTATTTGAAAACGAGGAATCATTTATGAGCATCATCAAACACTGTTCACTAATGTTGGGGGAATATTTCTTCACTTTTTCGGTATTTCTTTAAGTGACCCAAAACAAATGCAAAACACTACAACTAAAACATACTGGAGAATGGTGGAGAATTTACAAGCGCAATGTATGACATCGAATAAGCTCTTCGTGGACTGATTATGCCGGACACAACAGATATTAACAACATGAAACAGTCGGCAAGAAAGGACCATGGAAAGATCCCCATTTTATAACTAGAAATCATTGCACTCTGTGCATGAAACTTGCAATGGCAGAGAAACCCATTCATGAAATATGATATACTGGTCATCTTGAAAGATGACCAATGAAATTCAGTGGATTCTACTGCCATGTACACCGGTGTCATGGAGATGCAATTACTTTTGTCTTGTTTGTTTCTTGTTTAACGCTCAACGCAGCGATATTCCAGCTATATGGCGGAATACTGTAAATAATCGAGTCTGGACCAGACAATCCAGTGATCAACATCATGAGCACCGGTCTACGCAGCTGGGATTCTATGACATGTGTCAATCAAGTCAGCGAGCCTGACCACCAGATCCCGTTAGTTCCCTCTTACGACAAGCATGGATTATTGAAGATCAATATTCTAACCCGGATCTTCAAGGCTCGGCTTAGGTGAAACACAGCATGCTTCTAACAAACCATAAGAAAATGTAAGAATACAGGTATAAAAATAAAGGTCCTACAGTCCAAGTCTTATAACCCAGGTAGTGAAGTGTAAGTATGTAAGTATGACTACCCACCATGGTGAGACGTTTGACGACTCTCCTGCTGAGAGGAGAATGAGGTGACAATGTACCCACCAAGTGAGATTGGACTGTTTGACTGATTGACATGTGCCAACCATGCTAGCCTGACCACCCGATCCCGTTATTTGCCTCTTAGGACAAGCATGGGTTCCTGAAGATCACTTCTAACCCGGATCTTCAATGGGTTTTAAGTACTACACAGAGGACGTCCGGTGCCTTAGCTAACTGACAACGACTATGTGTTGAATATATGAAGTCTGAGGGTAAACTATTCATTTCAAAGATGCCTGGTCTCTCGTTCCGGAAACAAAGAGACTGCGCAGAGTAAGCATACTGTGTCACAGAGAAACATTAGTGGATCTAAAATCAATATTTTACCTGTGTGAAACATACCTGTAGTCCTGACGAGTTCGTTACATTCCATTTTCCATACACAGAAAATAACACATAACTGCAGCAGGAAATATTTTTTCTACTTTCGATAAGACATTTGACGTGTGCATAAATACCATGACAGGGAAATAATTGAAGCCAGTGTTGTTTATACTGTTTCCAACATTTTCTGAAAGTTATTTTCTTGACAATGTACATTTAGTGTGTTTGGCATTTAAATGAAAATATGATACTGTGTTGCTCCCGTGTGGATGTCCTGTATCAATGTTTCCTTAATTTATGTTTACAAATTATCTGAATTTCCTACCAACACCGGGTGTGTGTTTTACAGAGAGTCAATAAAGGCCAATAACCGCCCAGCCGACAGAACATTTACGGAAAACGGCGAGTTCAACCGATTGTGACAAAAACACTCCGGAACACACAGCCAGCGGAAAGGTAGACTTAAGTCATTGCTTGTCATTTTCTGTAAACTACGTATTGTCAAGCTGATACCTGATACCCGTTATTGTGTTTTGTCAAATGTTATTGATGATCTGACAGACTCTGAATATACGAGTGTCAGTACATCTTGAAATCAGCGATACTTGAGCATTTAACGCGGAAGTTGTTTACTTTCGTTATCACTTTAAACGATGGCCCCTCGATGGGGTTGTAACATGTAGGACTGGAGCTTAGTGGGTAAATCCAATTATACAAAGGTATTGACTTTGACTGATTCGTGGAGTTGATTAATGGTGTTCAGGTGTAATTTCGATGAACGTATCCGTTCACTCGATCGTTCCTCCGACTGTGCTTTGTGCGATACCTTACTATACTGATGGCTGCGGGGCGTGTCGACCATGTGTAGTGCTAGTGTTTCCCTTAGAACAGGGTTGAGGTTATCCACGAGTGAATAGACAACATGTATAGTCGTGGCGGTGCAGGTATGTCCGTTGTGTTCTCCACGCCTAAAGTGCATGTATCTGGCAGGAGCACAGGTTTGGGTCGAAAGTCACCGTTTATATACTGTTCAATGTGGACAGTCATAGATTGTTATATGTAGAACTTAAAGGCCTGTCAATAACATCAACATCGACTTTACGCAAGATGCTACGCCTCATTAGGCTTAGAGTTGAAATGTCTGTCCAGGACCATGTACCTGCATGAACGGCAGAATACCCAGGGTCAGTTCTTCCTCTCCATACTGTATGGTAGTAAGATTATAGTCCGTTTGGCTCAAAAGCGGACTGATGAATTACAATCAAACTCGAAAACTAATAAACATATAATACTCAATGAAACGCTGATCATAATCAAAACATCAGACCTACCCTGTGATTTGTTTGCAGAATTTATGTTCTAACATTAAAAAAGTTGTTTAACAAACTATCATGAAAATTTTGACATAGTTCACCATTTGTTACGAGGGAGGAGTGCAGAGAAAGGGACAGCCAGGTGTTAGAGAAGCACGTGTACAAATGCCGACAACGTTATTGATTCATTAACCTGTGCTGTGCCGTCTCCATCCTTTAAATTTCTCGCATACCTGGCTGTCCCTTTCTCTGCACTCGTCCCTCGTAACATATAGTGAATTGTGTCGATATTTTAATGATAGTTTGTTAAACAACTTTTATATTTTTGGGACATAAATTCTGCAAACAAATCACAGAGTATGCATGATGTTTTGATTATGATCAGCGTTTCATTGAGTATTATATGTTTATTAGTTTTCGAGTTAGATTGCAATTCATCGGTCTGCTTTTGAGCCAAACAGACTATACATTCAGTTAAGGTTTAATGTCGGCGCGAAATGCCCCCAAACCAATACGCATTCTCATCCAAATCGTCAGCATCACAAACACATCAAAGTGTTAGAACACAATGTTGTGTTACCGATTGTTTAAGGAGACATAACCTGAGATGTTAAACTAGCTTTTATGTGGTGTGAGTAAGACATCATTTGGAACACATTTCCTGTAACTTTCTTATCTGCACCGGTATTGTTGGGGTTTTAAAAGTAAAGGGAAGTAACTCTTGTCCATTACGTCGTCTGTTTGCTATCAACATATTTATTCTTAATCTGAATAATAAATGTCGGGAAAATGTCAGCGTTTCCTCGGAGCGGTCTGACAGCTTGGATACATAAGGACATACTCTGGCACATGCTACAGATCACACCGTACACATGCCTACATTCATGCATGCATCATATGTATGTATGTGCGCGCGCGTGCGTTCGTATTCGGCTTCGCATGCAAATGCTTGTGTGTTCAGATGTATCATTGCTGCTTATGGAATCTGTAGTGAGAAAAATATAATCTATTTGTACTAAAATAAAAAGACACAAACTGCATGTGTATCTTACAGATGGCGACCGCTTGGCTGGAGAAGAAAGTAAAAGATAATTTCCTGACGTGCTCCATCTGCTTCGAGATGTACACAGACCCGTGCACACTGAGGTGTGATCACACATTCTGCAGGAAATGTGTCAACTCATACATCCAAACCAGACCTGATGCTGTACAGTCCAAGACCATCCCCTGTCCCTGCTGTCGACAAGACACCAAGGTGCCCAACCCTAGCAGGCCGGTGGAGGAGTGGGCGGGGCAGATCAAAGCCAGCATTGTGATACAGGGGCTGATTGACACCTATAGATCCGAGGTCGCTGTGCAAGGTAAAGTGAAAATGTGATCCACGTGTGTGCGTGTGCCTGCGTGTATGTATGTATTATTAAATAACCTGCTTCCTTTCCTAGCCTTTTGAAATTGCAATGAAAATAAGCACGTTTGTACTTGTGTTCACAGAGACTTCAAGCACCTGTTGTATGATCTGTCAGCAACTAGGGGAGACAACTCCAGGGGCCTTGTGGTGTGCTGAGTGTGGACTGGCCCTCTGCGACAAATGTGTGAAGACACACCGGATGACCCCTATTTTATTGAACCATGACCTATGTGACCTGTCATCTAGGTCAAAGGTCAAACGGAGGATCAAGTGTACGGAACACAAGAGTAACCGTCTTGAGTTCCACTGTCAAGACTGTGGGAAGGCTGCCTGTCAGACATGTTGTATCATCTACCACAGAGCTTGTAAAACTGTCGTCACCATTGAGTCTATGAAGCCAGGGATGAAGGCAGCACTGATGGAGAAGAGACTTGGCATGGAGAAGAGACTGAAAGTGAGGTCTAAGAAAGTAGACATACGAAACGAGAAGCTCCAAAGTAATTCTAGAATCACAGAGTCAGCTGTTCAAAATATTAGGTTGATCTGCCAGACAGCCATTAACAAGATTAAACAGAAAGAAACACATCTCTTGGAAGAACTGAATAACATATCACAGACATACGCCGACCAACTCCAAGCTGATGTGAATCTGGAAGAGATCGAGATGCAGATGTACAGACAACATTGTGAGTTCATCGACCAGGTCTTGGTATCAGACTGTGAGATGGACCTGTATGACGCGTATCAGGTCTGGGAGTCTGGAGCTGTAAAGATGGAGGATGTCAGATGTACAGTGGCAGCAGACACCCGGAGAATAGATCACATCGGGTTTACACCAGACACTGTAAAAGTCATGAAGGTCCTAAATAGTCTGCAGTTTGGGGACATCGACGTCACATACCAGGACAGATGTCTGTCAACTCCTGTGCTGGTTGACACGAGAGATGTGAGGGTGGTGGATGATGAGAAGCCTAATCTATCTGATATGATAGTCCTGGTTCTAGATGGTGTACAAACGTGTGTTGTTACGGACTATATGTGTGTGAAATCTTTCTTCACAAGAAATAATCTTTCATGCCACAGTAAGCTTCCCCTGGATAACTCTCCACAAGGGATGACACAGTTGAATGAGAAGCAGGTGATGGTTGCTGTCCCAGACTCCCGTCAGATTGTAACGGTAGAAGTGACCCCTGACCTGGTGCTGCTCTCTACCATCAAAACACGTGCCGGATACTACAGTCTGGCTGTTCTGAATCCTTCCTGTCTAGCAGCAGGTACGATGAAATGTGTTCATATACTGGACATGGCTGGACACGTGTTGAGGTCAATCACTATACACAATGGCGACTCACTGTTTGCCGACCCCGACTACATGTGTGTCAACAACAAGGGCAACCTACTTGTGTCTGACTGGAGGAACAAGTCTGTGACATGTCTGACGTCAGAGGGGGATATTGTGTGGAGATACGCCCCTGCCGGAGACAAGGCACTCAGCTACCCTTATGGTATCACAACTACCAGCACAGGAGACATCCTGTTTATAGACAGGGTCATGTACAACGTGATACAGCTGACAGAGTCGGGGGAGTTTGTCAGGGAACTGCTCACGTTAGAAGATGGCGGTGAGACGGGCATGTGTGATATATTCTGTGATAAATACGGTTTCTTATTTCTATGCACAGACACGGAAGTGAAAGAGTACGTGTTTGTCTGACATAAAAAGCAAGAGAATGAAAGTCAGTGCAGAGCTGTGGTTTATGACATTCTGTGCATGGTGTTCGTCTGGAATGGCTTGTGTTTTCACCAAAACGTATGGGCATAGCTTTGTCGGTGAATTGCAGACATGCAATATTCAAATAGGTCGTTTCCAGCATGAAGTGAAAAAGTCCACCAGGTGAAAGATCACCAGCTGTTGTGGAGATTCCTTGGATGACCTGAGCTACACAACGACTTGATCTCAACAGTGTGCTGAACCAGCTGACCTAAAGGAAATATTCCAGCTTCCTAAAGGAAATATTCCTCTCCCTTATCCCTTTAATAGACTAAAGCTAAGATAGAGTCTTGGTATATTATTTGTTTTTCGAAAAACGAAGAACAATTTGTGTTGGATAGAATTGAGGAATAACGAACCCGGTGCTGGTTAGGTTTTTTGGTTACTCGGAAGTGTACATGTTTCCGTGTGTATGACCACACCAGTGTATGTGTATTTAGAACGATCTCATCATCCGTTCAACAAAGCATGGGCCCAAACAAATTCCAAACGATATTTCTAGTATTGAGCGATGTTTCCTAAAACCATATATAATTCCTTTCAAAAAGTTTAGACTCACTAGTGTAATATACTTCCCATCAAAAGTTTAGACTGTTTGAAGTGAGTCTAAACATTTGAAAGGAAGTATACAAATTGAAGTCTTGAGGTCAAGGGTATACTGTATCTCTGTTTTCACATATTATACACAGGGGACACTATGTTGAAACGTCACCCTAAGCCAAATTGTTCTCTTTTCAGATTTTATTGCTTGTTAGGAAGTAAAATGAATGTGCGCAGTTTTCATTTCTGTACGTTAGATGACCCTGAAGATGAGAAATTCATGTGATAATATGGTTGGACAAGGAAATTTAGTGAGATTTCAGGTATTAAATTATATTATTTCGTAGAGCAATGCTAACATTTGAAATACTTGACGTCACGTTTCTATATTGTGCACCCATTTTCACATTTCCTATACATCAGACCATTATATTGCATATGTATATTTCAGCTTTTGTTTCTGTTTTGCTTCGTTTCTCTTTGTAGCTGCATGACGATGAATGAACGAGTTGTAAGTCAATGGAATGAGGTGTAATGAGCTGTGCTATAGTGATACAGTTAGATGGACATGATGACGAGCGACACACAAAATACTGTGAGTAGACTATTCTAGAGAGGAGGACAAGGAAATTTGGTAACATTTGGCTCCACATTTTATAGATGTAATTACAGTGACGAGATCACAAATCTGGGATACCAGTCTGAAATACTGTCAGTCTAGATTAGAAGTATATTTCGGCTAGCGACAGTTATTCTTTGACGGTGATACTTGAGGTCAACAAAGTGGTAGGTAATTAAATTGAAATCACATAAAATGTCAGTTTGTTCAAAGTATGTTTCTGTTGGTGTTAGTGAAATGGGACATACTCTGTTTATGAAAGACGTCAAGCATATTTGTAACGACCCATGGAATTCCATTTTCATAAGATATGTGATTACAATAATAGGAAAGATACAGTTTCCCTAACAACGACATGCATGAACATTCCAGAAAATTTTAAACAAAAAACTTTCCACATTCGCGGAAAAATTATTAAAATTATACTTGAGTGTTTGCCAGTTCATTTGACCCGGCGTTAAAATGAGGCAACATTTCTTGTCTTTCTTTCTCAATATTCATTCACATGTCTCTGGTCAATTTCACTTCGCTGATTCAAACAAGTTGGGAATCGACATCGAGCGTGCGGTATACTATGCATTTAGGAGCTGCAGGAGCCTTGAGATTTGTGTGAGACTTTAACGAAAGTTTAGCTTCATTTCCGGAGCATATCAGATGAGTGGCTGTGCCCTCTATATATTATCTGATTTAGCAAGGGAATACGTCTAGCCTTTGTCAAAATGTAGGAGCATTTTGTTTCTTGAGCATGACATAAACTGTCTAGTAATAATTCTGAAATATGAGCGAAAAAACGAGAGAAAATATCCATGATAGCCTAATAGGGTCTTTTTCACATGAAGGTATTTGTGTTTTTTGTTTAACTGCACCCAGAGCAATATTAAAGCTGACAATCCAAGCTGAGCTCAAGTAGTGCATGATATTTATTCGTGTTCGATGATAGTTTCTGACTAAGGTTAGGTCGCATTTCAGCCTGAGTAGCAATGTGGTCCTTGACGTAGAGCCGGACTAGACAAAACGGTTACATTCATGATCCAAATAGGGCGATGTAGCTGCTTGAATTGTCATTATTCAATCACGGGCTGTGATCGTGATGCACGTGCATTACAACTTTAACTGAGTAAAAGGTGTGTTTATATGGAAATGGTATTACTATATGCTGATTTCTGTGAAACATAGCAAGAGTTTCAGCTTCATCGTGCATGTTGCATTTCAACTTTATGTATGCTGCACCTCGCCAGCAACACCTGACCTCGGCCTGATAAACATATGTGTCTCAATGTGTCTCTGTCAATATTACATTCTGAATACTTTTTTTGTCACTGTAATTTTTAAAATTAGAATTTGAATAAACAAGGTGTTTTTTCTCTCTGCTATTTGAATTAGTGTTCGGAGAGGTCAACGTTGGTTGATTATGGCTTGTTGTTTAACGCCGCACTCAGCTACGTTCCAGCTGTATGGCGGCTATCTGTAAATAATCGAGCCTGGACAGTGATCAGCTTTATGAACATCGATCTTTGCAACAGGAATACGATGACATGAGTCAACCAAGTCAGCCAGCCTGTCCACCCGATCCCGTTAGTCGCCTCCTACGACAAGCCGACAAGCATGGGCTACTGAGGATCAATTCTAACCCGGATATTCACGGGTCAGAGAAATCAATGGGAGTTATAAGTAACAATTACACAACACATGCATTTCAGTTCTTGAAAGGCATTTAGAAGTTGGATGAACATGAATACACGTGAACGGTGTTTAGATACGTGTTCAAACTCAGTATACGTATGTGTAAAAGATTAAATCGCTTAGTTGGGAAACACAGGGAGTAGGTGTAGAACAGGGAAAGAATTGTAACCAGTATTGTTTATGTTGTTTCAAAGATTTTCTCAAAGTTGCTCTAATGGACATTTAGTTTTTTGGCCGCTTTAATGCATCAACGTTCTGTTTTGGTTATGTTGACACATTATCTGAATTTCTTGTAAGCATACCAACACCGGGTGCGTGTTTTACAGACATTATAAACCTAACCCTATTTTTGTCCATTTTATTGAAGAGGTAGCTTAAAACCTTGGAATAACCTCCAATTGGAGGTTTTACCAGTTGTAAAACCCTTTTAGAGATTTTACTTTTTGAATAAAGACCCCTAACCGGGTTTTACAAGTGGGAATATCTCTGACAAGAAAAAATAACAAAATTCAAAAGATAAAATTCTTTATTTAATTATTAACTGCTTAAAGCTTAGAGTGACATGGGAAGTTTTGTGCCAGTCAGTAGATGGGATTTCGGGTTGTGAACGAGCCTCTCTAACAGCACATTCTGGCTTTGGGTCGGTCTTTGTAACTATGGTTACGGTGGTTTGCGGGTGGGCCTCGGCTGGTCTTGACTATTCAGATGTCAGACACTGCATCTTTCTGGTCGTCAGATAACCGTTTGTACATCCTCACTGCCTCACTGCGATGTCCTAGACAATAGAAATATTTGTTACATATGTTATATTTGGGATGACACATTCTTAGTAAAGTACAAATTCTAGTACTTTTGGGTGGTTGAGTCCCTTCCGGGATTCGAACCCTCAGAATCAGGCACCAAATCGCCAGCACACAAAGTCAGCCGCCCAAACCGCTCAGCCACTTGTCTGTGTGCTGGCGATTTGGTGCCTGACTCTGAGGGTGTTGGCTCGAATCTCGGATGGGACGCAACACCAAGAAAGCATTGTGTAATCAGAAATATTCGTTATTTATACACCTTCAACAAAGTGTTTTCAGCAAATTCTGTAGATTCCAAGATCAGATCACAACCATATTTCCGGTTTAACAAGAGATTTGAATCATATAATATACTTTTTATTATAAGCCTTGAGGGAGCATTATTGACGTATATACCCGTCAAAACATATCACGTCGACTGCAAGTATTCAAAGATTTACAGTAATGGATCCAAAAATCAGCAAAAAGACTGTTTTCGGGCTAAAGCCCTCGGGGTGTTTCCCTCCCTTTAGGTTTTTCTTATACACAGACGTGTTTTCTCCTTCACGTCAACAAAGGCCGATAAGCGCCCAGCGGAGAGAACACTTCCGGAAAAAGTCGAGTTCAACCGATTGCAGCAAACCATACCCAAAAAACACACCGGAAAGGTAGGCTTAAGTCATTGCTTGTGATTTTCTGTAACGTACATATTGTTAAACTGACAACTGATACCAGTTATTGTGTCTTGTCAAATGTTGTTCATTATCTGATAGAAATTTACGAGTGGTCAGTACGTCTTGATACGTTCGATCATGTGCGTTGTTGTTATTGTTTGCCTTTGAAAAGGGTCGAGGTTAAAGGTGAGTAATTAGGTTAAATACATGTATGTACATGGTACATGATCCAAGTCATGGCGGCGCAGATATGTGGGTTGTGTTTTCCACACCTGAAGTGCATATATCAGGCAGGAATGTAGGTTTGGGCCGAACTACCCTATTAATATCCCGTTCAATATAGGCAGTCAGAGGAAACACTGTGTATACCTGAATGGGGAAATGGAAGGACAGTCCATGACATCATCACCAGCGTTAGTAACAACAGGGTGGGGTTCGACGTTGTCATAGTAACATGTCAGTACAGGACCGTGTAGCTTCATATATGGCAGAAGAACGTGGGTGAAAACCTGTCTCCGATGCTGTGTGGCAGGATAATCAGTTGAGATTGGCACCATTTGCGCGAATATGCTCCCAAGATTACTACGGACTTGCATGGTAAATAATATGGTAACTATGGTACGGTAAATTAGGTGGCAGTGTACCCAGTCTGACTGCTCGGGTACAGAGGCCCACATGCAGTTTACATAACACACACACACACACACACACACACACACACACACACCTACCTTTTCCCCCCTCTCTCCCTCCCTCTCTCTCTCTCTCTCTCTCTCTCTCTCTCTCTCTCTCTCTCTCTCTCTCTCTCTCTCTCTCTCTCTATATATATATATATATGTGTGTGTGTGTATGTGTATGTATGTATGTACAGTTAGTTAGATAGATAGATAGACAGGTAGATAGAGATCTGTTTATATTTAAAGTGTGTCTGTGTGTGTGTTAGTATACAGCTTTACATGCAGATGCGTGTATCTTCAGATCTTAAAGCGTAATTTATTTGTATTAAACTAAACAGGCACAAACTGCATGTGTATTTTACAGATGGTGACCGCCGGGCTAGAGAAGAAAGTAAAGGATAATTTCCTGACGTGCTCCATCTGCTTGGAGATGTACACAGACCCGTGTATACTGAGGTGTGATCACACATTCTGTAGGAAATGTGTCACCTCATACATCCAAACCAGACCTGATGCTGTACAGTCCAAGACCATCCCCTGTCCCTGCTGTCGACAAGACACCAAGGTCCCCAACCCCAGCAGGCCGGTGGAGGAGTGGGCGGGGCAGATCAAAGCCAGCATTGTGATACAGGGGCTGATTGACACCTATAGGTCCGAGGTCGCTGTGCCAGGTAAACTGAAAATATGATATGCGTGTGTGTATGTATTTAACACAGAGTGGTAGACATGACACTGCCATCTCTGTGTGTTAAAAATACCCTGCTTTCTTTAGTAGCCTTTTCAAGTTGTGATGAAAATAAGTACGTTAACTTGTGTTTACAGAGACCTCGAGCACCTGTTGTACGATCTGTCAGCAACTAGGGGAGACAACTCCAGGGGCCTTGTGGTGTCGTGAGAGTGAAGTGGCACTCTGCGACAAATGTGTGAAGATACACCGAGTGACACCGGTCAAACGGAGGATCAAGTGTACGGAACACAAGAGTAACTGTGTTGAGTTCAACTGTCAAGACTGTGGGAAGGCTGCCTGTCAGACATGTTGTATCATCTACCACAGAGCTTGTAAAACTGTCGTCACCATTGAGTCTATGAAGCCAGGGATGAAGGCAGCACTGATGGAGAAGAGACTTGGCATGGAGAAGAGACTGAAAGTGAGGTCGAAGAAAATAGACATACGAAACGAGAAGCTCCAAAGTAATTCTAGAATCACAGAGTCAGCTGTTCAAAATATTAGGTTGATCTGCCAGACAGCCATTAACAAGATTAAACAGAAGGAAACACAACTGTTGGATGAACTGAATACCATATTACAGACATACGCCGACCAACTCCGAGCTGATGTGAAGCTGGAAGAGATCGAGATGCAGATGTACAGACAACATTGTGAGTTCATTGACCAGGCCTTGGTATCGGACTGTGAGATGGATCTGTATGACGCGTATCGGGTCAACATACTCGTGTCTGACTGGGGAAGAAGCCTGTGATATGTCTGACGCAAGACGGAGATGTTGTGTGGAGACACGCCCCTACCGGTGACAGTGCCATTGGTTTCGCCTCTGGTATCACAACTACCACAACACGAGACATTCCTGCTTGTAGACAGCCGCACTGACAAGGTGATACAGCTGACAGAGTCGGGGAGTTTGTCAGGAGCTGCTCACGTTAGAAGATAGCGATCAGACAGGCATATGCGATATATTTTGTGATAAATACGGTTTCTTATTTCTATGCACAGACACGGAAGTGAAAGAGTACATGTTTGTCTGACATAAAACAAAAGAATGAAAGTTAGTGCAGAGCTGTGGTTTAAGCGTTTGTCAGTTTACTGCTCGTGATCTACTGTACGTGGGGTTAGTCTGGAAATATTTATGTATTCACCAAAACGTATGGGCATCGCTTTGTCAGTGAATTGCAGACATGCAATATTCAAATAGGTCGTTTCCAGCATTAAAGGAAATAGTCCACCAGGTGAAAGCACACCAGCTGTTGTGGAGATTCCTGGCATGACCTGAGCTACACAACCACTACTTGATCTCAACAGTGTGTGCTGAACCAGCTGAACTTTAAAGAAACCCCATGCATGAAACCCAGGAGACATATATACACTGACTAATGTATGGATGGACTAGGACCACAGGAACTCTGAAACTGTTGGTCAGTTTTCGGAGTTTCTTCCTCATAGAATATTCAGTATCAATATACACGATCTTCACCCAAACCTGATGATATAGCTTATATTGTCTAGTTGAGACATACCATATTTACTTACAGGTCACTTCCAGCAATTAAATGCACCGCATGATGACTCGGTGAAACACATCAGTGGTGATAGTGGTTGTACCTACACTTAGACAGGACAATATGATCTTAACATAGTATGATAATGCATACCACCTATGGTTAAAAGCCGAGGCATGTGGTGAAAAGGAAACCTTACGTCTCTGCTCATGACTTGCTGAAACGCTATCAACATTGAAAGGTGTATGGCATACGATCCAGTAGTCTGTCTCAGTGTCTGTGAACCACATTTTGTCCCCTGTTGCTTAGCCCACCCTGTAATGCCAAAGCCATAAATGCACAAGTCTAGATTTCCTCAGGTCCAGGATCTCCCATCTCATAAGTGATCCTTATCTAGTTAATGGACCAAAAACTTTTTACTTCACTTCATTCAATCTTGTGCTAGTTTATCACGAGTAAACCCAAGTATGGAGAAGATTGAGGCGCGCAGTGTTATCAAGTTTTTGCACTTGAAGGGTTGCACTTCTCAACAAATTCACGAGGAGATGAAATCTGTATATTGTGAAGATCTTATGATAGTGTTGTGAGATGGAAAAGGGATTTTCAAACCGGTCATATGTCCATCACAGATGAGCCAAGAAGTGGACGCCGTTTTGACGATATCAATGAGGTCATTCAAGAGGTGGGGTTGGTTTTCCATGAAACTGGGGTTCTATTCAGGCGTCTGCACAAGGTCAAGAAATGTTGGGAGAACTCTGGATTGGGCCTGTGTATATAGAAGTCTTAAGGACAAGAAATCAAGATAAACTTTTTAATGTACTGTACCTGTATAGTTGATTACTCCCAGATTGTCTACTCATGACTATAAACATATAATGAAGCACTCCTACACTTAATAATGTACTGTACCTGTATAGCTGATTACTCCCAGATTGTCTACTCATGACTATAAACATATAATGGAGCACCCCTACACTTAATAATGTACTGTACCTGTATAGCTGATTACTCCCAGTTTGACTACTCATGACCACAAATATATAATGGAGCACCGATTTTATGCATTTGTATTAAAGAATCTGTCTATGTAACTGTCAACAAAATAAACAGCAGAACGCAAACTGCTTGCAGAGGGAGGGAGCCAATGACCTGTAACAGCGGCAGCGTTTGGTCATAAAGGTAAATGCACGTGCAGTTCATGATAGTTACCTGTGCACTGCACAGTGATAGACCGTTTGGATCATTCACATTGACTACTTCTAGCTGTCATAATGAAAGCTTATTCAGATGATGCTAAACGTTTAATTAGAAATGTGTTGAATTTTGTAAAAAAAAGAGAGCAAACGTAACAAACCGATTTATAAGGTGTCGGATTACATGAAACGTACAACTTTCCTCTTGACATGAAAAGAACATCGTGCTAAACATTGTGAAAAATAAACGAACAACCAATAAACAAAACCATGTACAAAAAGGTAGGCATCCAAAGTTAGATTCTTTTGACATCAGGGTCATCAGAGATGTCATTCGCCGGCTATTTGCTAGAAATGAACACCTCTTCATACCTGTCACGTGCAAAGCTGACCTACATTGACGAATGTAGACCTTTATGACCCAACACTGCCGCCGTTACAGGTCATTGGCTCCCTCCCCTCTGCAAGCCGTCTGCGTTCTGCTGTTTATTTTGTTGACAGTTACATAGACAGATTCTTTAATACAAATGCATAAAATCGGTGATTTACAATGTGATTAGATTGTCTGTCAAAACATCCACTTGCACAGTTTGAGATCGATTGGGTCATTGGATGAAGAGATATTTACAAAACACCGGGTCCACATGCATTTCATGCCAAACTATAGCTATTTGATGGCCATTGAATGATTTAATATATCGCTATATCTCAAGCTTAGGCTTTTTATCTTAAAAAAGAAAGTAAGCAGATGTCGCTTTATAGGTAACTGTATAGGAAATGCATGCATTTCAACTCTGGGCCCTACTTGTTTGTCACACTTCAGTTTTGGTGTGTGTGTTTTTGTTCAGTCCTATATTCATTTTTACAGTCTTCGGAAGTGTTTTGCAATAATGAAAGGAAGACAACACTACCGAGATTATTCCGAGGTTCCAGCGGTGTAAATGTACTCCATGGTGGAAGTAAGCACATAAAAGACGCCAAACAACAGTCAAACATATACATGTTGAACAAGTGAACCGAGAGAGCGAGAGACAGACTCTGATACATAGTGCAGCTGATCCTCACCCAACAAAAATTTCTTTATCTGAATGTGCCTCTGTTAATACAATATTCTGAATAACCTTTCATCACTGTATGTTTTACAATTGGCTTTGATTTGAATTTGTGTTGAGGAGTGATGGTATAGTTTCTATTAAACTGAGTGGGTGAATTTAGATTTTCGCCGCTTTTAGCAATATTCCAGCAATATCCCGGCCGGGGACACAGGAAATGGGCTTCACACATTGTACCCATGTGGGAAAGCGAACCCGGTCTTCGGCGTGACGAGAGAACGCTTTAATCACTGGGCTACCCCTAACGCTCCAAGTTTTCAGGAGAAGTCAATTTGATGTATGAGTGATTCCAAATCACGTGCATTTCTTTTTTAACACAATTGTTTGCAATATGGCATTCTTTTTTATAACTCCCATAACATTTTAAGTTTTCAATTATAGGTTTTATAACACTGAAATGAATGCCTTTCTTTGGAAATTTTGTCCAATCACATGAAGTGCCACCCTACCAATTAACAAAGAGTTCACATGATGGGCGACGACGCTCACTCACTGTGGAGATATAAGTTCAAATTCAGTATGGGTAAAAAGATGTCATCACTTAGTAGGGAGTGCTTAGAGTGCTTGTTTTACGGACCAGTCAACAAAGGCCGATAAGCGCCCAGCCGACAGAGCAGTTACGGAAAAGGGCTAGTTCAACCGATTGTGACAAACCAGACCGGACCACCACAGCCAGCGGAAAGGTAGACTTAAGTCATTGCTTGTGATTTTCTGTAGAGTACGTGTTGTCGAAATGATAACGGATACCAGTTATTGTGTTTTGTCAAATGTTATTCATTATCTAGCAGAAACATACCAGCGTTAGTGCGTCTTGAAATCCGTGAAACATGAGGATTTAACGATGAAGTTGTCTACTTTCTTTATCACATTTAACGATGGTCACGCGGTGATGTAACCCGTAGCATTAAAGCTTACTGTATAATTCCAAATATATAAAGGTATTGACATTGACTAGTTCATGGAGTCAGTGTTCAGGTGTAATTTCGGTGAAGGTATCCGTTCAATCGTTCATCCTACCGTGTTTTGTGCGATACCTTACTACTGGTGGCTAGGGGCGTGTCCATCATGTACATTGTGAGTGTTTGCCTTCAGAAGTTCGAGGGTATCCGCGAGTGATTAGAAAACGTGTACAAGCTCCGAGTCGTGGCGGTGCAGATATGTCGGTTGTGTTTTCCACACCTGAAGTGCATATATCTGGCAGGAATATAGGTTTTGGCCGAACTACCCTGTTAATATCCCGTTCAATATAGAGAGTCAGAGAAAACACTGTGTATACCTTAATAGGGAACGGGAGGCCAGTCCATGACATCATCACCAGAGTTAGTAACAACAGGGTGGGGCTCGACGTTGTCATAGTAACATGTCAGGACCATTTAGCTGCATACATGGCAGAAGGACGTCCTCCCTGGTCCCGATGCTGTATGGCAGTAAAATTATCATGGACGCACACATATATGTGTGTATATATATACACATAGATAGAGAGATAGGTAGATAGGCAGGAAGGTAGGTAGGTAGGTAGATAGATAGATGGATAGATTGTATTAAACTAAAAAGACACAAACTGCATGTTACAGATGGTGACCGCCGGGCTAAAGAAGAAAGTAAAGGATAATTTCCTGACTTGCTCCATCTGCTTCGAGATGTACACAGACCCGTCAGCAACTAGGGGAGACAACTCTCCAGGGGCCTTGTGGTGTGCTGAGTGTGAAGTGGCCCTCTGCGACAAATGTGTGAAGACACACCGGGTGACCCCTATTTTATTGAACCATGACCTATGTGACCTGTCGTCTAGGTCAAAGGTCAAACGGAGGATCAAGTGTACGGAACACAAGAGTAACCGTGTTGAGTTCCACTGTCAAGACTGTGGGAAGGCTGCCTGTCAGACATGTTGTATCATCTACCACAGAGCTTGTAAGACTGTCGTCACCATTGAGTCTATGAAGCCAGGGATGAAGGCAGCACTGATGGAGAAGAGACTTGGCATGGAGAAGAGACTGAAAGTGAGGTCGAAGAAAGTAGACATACGAAACGAGAAGCTCCAAAGTAATTCTAGAATCACAGAGTCAGCTGTTCAAACTATCAGGTTGATCTGCCAGACAGCGATTAACAAGATTAAACAGAAAGAATCACAACTGTTGGATGAACTGAATAACATATCACAGACATACGCCGACCAACTCCGAGCTGATGTGAAGCTGGAAGCGATCGAGATGCAGATGTACAGACAACATTGTGAGTTCATTGACCAGGCCTTGGTATCGGACTCTGAGATGGACCTGTATGACGACGCGTATCAGGTCTGGGAATCTGGAGCTGTAGAAATGGTGGGTGTCAGGGATACAGAGGCATCAGACACCCGGAGAATAGATGACATCAGGTTTATAACTAACACTTTCAGGGTCCTGAGACCCTAGATAAACTGCAGTTGGGGAAAATTGACGTCACATACCAGGGCACATGTCTACTGTCTCCAGTGCTGGGTGACGCGATAGATGGGAGGGTGGAGGATGATGAGGTGAGCCCTACCTTAAGGTGCATAACAGTCCTGACTGTAGGTGATATACAGACATGTGTTGTCACTGACTTTTCTAACAACTGCCTGAAATCTTGTACACTAGAGACAATCATCCATGCCACAGTAAGCTTACCCTAGATAACTCACCATCTGGGATAACACAGTTGAAGCAGAAGCAGGTGATGGTTGCTGTCCCTGAATCCCGCCAGATTGTAACAGTAGAAGTGACCCCCGACCTGGTGCTGCTCTCAACCATCCTAACTCGCAATAGTTACGACAGTCTGGCTGTTCTGAACCTTTCATCTCTGGCAGCAAGTGGCGAGGATTTTGATGGTTACAGCATTGTTGATATCCTTGACATGTCTGGACACGTGTTGAGGTCAATCAGTAAATACAATGATGTCTCACTGTTTGCCTACCCCTGGTACATGTGTGTCAACAACAAGGGCAACATACTCGTGTCTGACTGGGAACGTGAGTCTGTGACATGTCTGACGCAAGAGGGAGATGTTGTGTGGATACACGCCCCTACCGGTGACAGTGCCATTGGTTGCGCCTCTGGTATCACAACTACCAGCACAGGAGACATCCTACTTGTAGACAGCCGCACTGACAAGGTGATACAGCTGACAGAGTCGGGGGAGTTTGTCAGGGAGCTTCTCACGTTAGAAGATGGCGATGAGACAGGCATGTGCGATATATTCTGTGATAAATACGGTTTCTTATTTCTATGCACAGAAACGGCAGTGAAAGAGTACGTGTTTGTCTGACATAACACAAAAAGAATGAAAGTTAGTGCAGAGCTGTGGTTTAAGCGTTTGTCACTTCACTGCTCGTTATCTACTGTACGTGGGGTTAGTCTGGAAATGTTTGTGTATTCACCAAAACGTATGAGCATCGCTTTGTCAGTGAATTGCAGACATGCAGTATTCAAACAGGTCATTTCCAGGATGAAGGGAAATAGTCCACATGATCACCAGGTGAAACACACCAGCTGTTGTGGAGATTCCTGGCATGACCTGAGCTACACAACCACTACTTGATCTCGCCGCCTCCATGGTGTAGTAGTTAGAGCGTCCACACGGAGAGCGGAAGGTCGCGGGTTCGATCCCTGACCGCGTCATACCAAAATACGTTAAAATATGGTACAAGTTGGTCCCTGTCTGGCGCTCGGCATTAATGGGTACAACAAGGACTGGTCGGCTCGGAGTCAGTATAATGTGTCTGTGTGGGGTATTCATGCTTCACTGTGGCATGGTATCTCAGTGGGCTAGCACTATAAAACCAGCTTAAGTCTGGGCTAGTACAAGCAGCAGTACATACACATACACACGCATGCATGTCGTCATATGAGCGAAATATTCTCAAGCACGAAGTTAAGCCTAATTTCACCTCACCTCACCTATTTAATCTCAACAGTGTGCTGAACCAGCTGAAGTTTAAAGAAACCCCATGCATGAAACCCAGGAGACATATATACACAGACTAATGTATGGATGGACTAGGACCACAGGAACTCTGAAACTGTTGGTCAGTTTTCGGAGTTTCTTCCTCATAGAATATTCAGTATCAATATACACGATCTTCACCCAAACCTGATGATATAGCTTATATTGACTAGTTGAGACATACCATATTCACTTACAGGTCACTTCCAGCAATTAAATGGACCGCATGATGACTCGGTGAAACACATCAGTGGTGATAGTGGTTGTACCTACACTTACACAGGACAATATGATCTTAACATAGTATGATACTGCATACCACTTATGGTTAAAAGCCGAGGCATGTGGTGAAAAGGAAACCTTACGTCTCTGCTCATGATCATGACTTGCGTGAAACGCTATCAAAATAGAAAGGTGTATGGCATACGATCCAGTAGTCTGTCTCAGTGTCTGTGAACCACAGTTTGTCCCCTGTTGCTTAGCCCACCCTGAAATGCCAAAGCCTTAAATGCACAAGTCTAGATTTCCTCAGGTCCAGGATCTCCCACCTCATCAGTGGTCCTTATCTAGTTAATGGACCAAAACCTATTTACTTCACTTCATTCAATCTTGTGCTAGTTTATCACGAGTAAACCCAAGTATGGAGAAGATTGAGGCGCGCAGTGTTATCAAGTTTTTGCACTTGAAGGGTTGCACTTCTCGACAGATTCACGAGGAGATGAAATCTGTATATTGTGAAGATCTTATGAAACTGTTGTGAGATGGAAAAGGGATTTTCAAACCGGTCATATGTCCCTCACAGATGAGCCAAGAAGAGGACGCCGATATCATTGAGGTCATTCAAGAGGTGGGGTTGGTTTTCCATGAAATCAGGGGTTCTATTCAGGCGTCTGAACAAGGTCAAGAAATGTTGGGAGAACTCTGGGCTTTGTATATAGAAGTCTTAAGGACAAGAAATCAAGATAAAGTTTTTACCCTGAATACGTCTTGGTGATAATTAGAATTTTTTTATACCCTCTCGTAACTCAAGCATGTGCTATTAGGATTAATTGAGCACTGTTCAACGATTCATGACATATAGGCTATAGTTTTCATTTGAAAACAGACATTAGACAATGGGATAGTTACAATCCAACAGTGGGTTGTTTCGGGGATAAAGATTAAATTTACACTTCAGAGTTTGATAGTTTATTTGACCCGGCGTTAAACCGAGGCAATATTTTCTTTCTCAATATTCGTTCACTTGTCTTCTGTCAATGTCGATGTAGATGGGAATCGCCTACAGAGTGTAAGGTATACACGTCATTAAATTCCTCCAAGAGCCTTTTGATTTATGTGATTCTTTAACAATAGTTTGACTTCATTTCCGGAGCATAACAGATGAGCTGCTTTGGATTATTTGCGTTTTCAAGGCAATATGTCGTCGACTTTAGTCAAAACGTGGAAACGTTTTTATTTCTTGAGCATGACATAAATTGTCTAATATTTATTCTGAAACTGAAACAAAAGAAGCAAGAAAAACATATCCATAACATTCTATTTGGCTTTGTTAAAAAAAGAAGGCATTTGTGCTTTTGTGTAACGGCACCAGGACAATAATAAGCTGACAATCCAAGCTTGAGTTCAAGTTGTGATAATTATTCGTTTTCGATGATAGTTTCTGACTAAGGTTAGGTCGTTTTTCAGCCTGATTAGCAACGTGGCCCTTGACGTCTAGCGAGACTAGGCAAAACGGTTACATTCATGATCCGGATAAGGCGATGGAAATTTGCTTGAACTTTCATTGTTCAAGCACGGGCTGTGATCGTGTTGCACGTGCATTACAACTTTAACTGGGTAAAAAGTATTTTCATATGGCAAAAAGTAATGATATACGGATTTCTATGAAATACAGCAAGAGTTTCAGCTCCATCGCGTTTGTTGCATTTCAACTTTATGTTTGACATTATCAGATTATGTAGGAACAGAACAGTTGCATACAGGAATGCTGAAACAGATAGTTTAGACAGCACATCCCGGGAGATGATATCATGAACTCAATTTCTATTTGAAAACGAGGAATCATTTATGAGCATCATCAAACACTGTTCACTAATGTTGGGGGAATATTTCTTCACTTTTTCGGTATTTCTTTAAGTGACCCAAAACAAATGCAAAACAATACAACTAAAACATACTGGAGAATGGTGGAGAATTTACAAACGCAATGTATGACATTGAATAAGCTCTTCGTGGACTGATTATGCCGGACACAACAGATATTAACAACATGAAACAGTCGGCAAGAAAAGACCATGGAAAGAAATGATCCCCATTTTATAACTAGAAATCATTGCACTCTTTGCATGAAACTTGCAATGGCAGAGAAACCCATTCATGAAATATGATATACTGGTTATCTTGAAAGATGACCAATGAAATTCAGTGGATTCTATTGTCATGTACACCGGTGTCGTGGAGATGCAATTACTTTTGTCTTGTTTGTTTCTTGTTTAACGCTCAGCTCAGCGATATTCAAACTATATGGCGGAATACTGTAAATAATCGAGTCTGGACCAGACAATACAGTGATCAACATCATGAGCATCGGTCTACGCAGCTGGGATTCGATGACATGTGTCAATCATGTCAGCGAGCCTGACCACCAGATCCCGTTAGTTCCCTCTTACGACAAGCATGGATTATTGAAGATCAGTTCTTACCCGGATCTTCACGGCTCGGCTTATGTGAGACACAGCATGCTTCTAACAAACCATAAGAAAATGTAAGAGGCAGGTATAAAAGGTCCTACAATCCAAGTCTTATAACCCAGGTAGTGAAGTGTAAGTATGTAAGTATGACTACCCACCATGGTGAGACGTTTGACAACTCTCCTGCTGAGAGGATAATAAGGTGACAATGTACCCACCTAGTGAGAGATTGGACTGTTTGACTGATTGACATGTGCCAACCATGCTAGCCTGACCACCCGATCCCGTTATTTGCCTCTTAGGACAAGCATGGGTTCCTGAAGACCACTTCTAGTCCGGATCTTCATGGGGTTGTAATTACTAGACAGGACGCCCGGTGCCCTACCTAACTGGCAACGACTATGTGTTGAATATATGAAGTCTGAGGGCAAACTATTCATTTGAAAGATGTCTGGTCTCTCGTTCCGGAAACAAAGAGACTGTGCAGAGTAAGAATCTAGAGTAGTGGATCTAAAATCAATATTTTACCTGTGTGAAACATACCTGTAGTCCTGACGAGTTCGTTACATTCCATTTTCCATACACAGAAAATAACACATAACTGCAGCAGGAAATAATTTTTCTACTTTCGATAAGACATTGACGTGTGCATAAATACCATGACAGGGAAATAATTGAAGCCAGTGTTGTTTATACTGTTTCCAACATTTTCTGAAAGTTATTTTCTTGACAATGTACATTTAGTGTGTTTGGCATTTAAATGAAAATATGATACTGTGTTGCTCCCGTGTGGATGTCCTGTATCAATGTTTCCTTAATTTATGTTTACAAATTATCTGAATTTCCTACTAACACCGGGTGCGTGTTTTACAGAGAGTCAATAAAGCCAATTACCGCCCAGCCGATAGGAGAACATTTACGGAAAACGGCGAGTTCAACCGATTGTGACACACAACACGCCCGAACACACAGCCAGCGGAAAGGTAGACTCAAGTCATTTAGCTTGTCATTTTCTGTAAACTACGTATTGTCAAGCTGATACCTGATACAGGGTATTGTGTTTTGTCAAATGTTATTTGATGATCTGACAGACTCTGAATATACGAGTGTCAGTACGTCTTGAAATCAGCGATACTTGAGCATTTAACGCGGAAGTTGTCTACTTTCGTTATCACTTTAAACGATGGCCCTCGATGGGCTTTGTAACATATAGGACTGGAGCTAACTGGGTAAACCAACCATACAAAGCGCATTGACATTGACTGATTCGTGGAGTTGATTAATAGTGTTCAGGTGTAATTTCGGTGAAGGTATCCGTTAAATCGTTCCTCCTACTGTGCTTTTGCGATACCTTTACTACTGATGGCTGCGGGCGTGTCGAGCATGTGTAAGTAACTAGTGTTTCTTTAGAAGAGGGTTGAGGTTATCCACGAGTGAATAGACAACATGTATAGACGTGGCGGTGCAGATATATCGGTTGTGTTCTCCACGCCTGAAGTGCATGTATCTGGCAGGAATGTAGGTTTGGGTCGAGAGTCACCGTTTATATACTGTTCAATGTGGACAGTCAGAGATTGTTATATGTAGAACTTAAAGGCCTGTCAATAACATCAACATCGACTTAACGCAAGATGCTACGCCTCATTAGACTTAGAGTTGAAATGTCATTGTCCAGAACCATGTATCTGCATGAACGCAGAATACCCAGGGTCAGTTCTTCCTCTCCATACTGTATGGTAGTACAGTTTCTAACTTCGAAAACTAATAATATAGCCATAATCCTCAATGGAAACGCTGATCATAATCAAAATGTCAGACCTACCCTGTGATTTGTGTTTGCAGAATTTATGTTCTAAAATTAAAAAAGTTGTTTACAAACTATCATTAAAATTTTGACATAGTTTACCATTTGTTACGAGGGAGGAGTGCAAAAGAAAGGGACAGCCAGGTGTTAGAAAGCACGCACAAGCGCCGACAACGTTATTGATTCATTTTACTTGTGCTTTGCCGTCTCCATCCTTTTCTCGCACACCTGGCTGTCCCTTTCTCTGCACTCGTCCCTCGTAAATATTATAGTGAATTGTGTCGATATTTTAATGATAGTTTGTTAAACAACTTTTTATTTTAGGACATACAAATTCTGCAAAATCATCACAGAGTAGGTCTGATGTTTTCATTATGATCAGCGTTTCATTGAGTATTCGTATGTTTGCATTAGTTTTCTGAGTTAGATTGCAATTCATTGGTCCGCTTTTGAGCCAAACAGTCTATAGATTCAGTTGAGGCTTAATGTCGGCGCAAAATACGCCCCCAAACCAATACGCTTCCTCATCCAAATCGTCAGCATCACAAACACATCATAAGTGTTGGAACACAAGTGTTGTGTTACCGATTGTTTAAGGAGACATAACCTTTATCCAAGTGGATAACTGAGATGTTAAACTAGCTTTTTAATGTGTGCGGAGACATCATTTGGAACACATTTCCTGTGACATCACTTATCTGCACCAGTATTGTTGAGGTTTTAAAAGTAAAAGGGAAGTAACTCTTGTCCATTACGTCGTCTGTTTGCTGGGTCAACATATTTATTCTTAATCTGGAATAATAAAATGTCGGGAAAATGTCAACGTTTCGTCGGAGCGGTCTGACAGCTTGGATACATAAGGACATACTCTGGCACATGCTACAGATCACACTGCCGTACATATGCCTGCCACACATACATGCATGCATCTGTATGTATGCGCGTACTTGTGCGCGTGCGTGTTCGTATTCGGCCTCGCATGCACAAATGCTTGTGTGTTCAGATGTATCGTTGCCGCATATGGAATCTGCAGTAAATAAAGCGTAATTTTATTTGTGTACTAAAATAAAAGACACAAACTGCATGTGTATCTTACAGATGGCGACCGCCGGGCTAGAGAAGAAAGTAAAAGATAATTTCCCTGACGTGCTCCATCTGCTTCGAGATGTACACAGACCCACACGTGTACACTGAGGTGTGATCACACACATTCTGCAGGAAATGTGTCACCTCACACATCCAAAACCAGACCTGATGCTGTTCAATCCAAGACTATCCCCTGTCCCTGCTGTCGACAAGACACCAAGGTCGCCCACCCCAGTCGGCCGGTGGAGGGTGGGCGGGGCAGATCAAAGCCAGCATCATTATACAGAAGTTGACAGACAAACCAGGTTAAGTGAAAAGCCAAATGGTCAAGAAAGTTTTATTATTTATATATTGATTTAATTTGATCAAAACATATAATATGTCACGTGACATGAGGTGTTGGGTAATTTCTGAAAGATTATGCTGATAAAATCTAGTTTTAAAATATTTCAAGAATGAACATGTTAGCTAACGTGTATGAGTAACATTTATCGATCAAATTTAGAAAATAAAGTATATAAAGGAGAAAAGTCTCACCAGTATTTTACAAATTGACAATAATGTTAAACGTAACTACTGTTAGTTTGATTACGTATATGATAACATAATAATTTTATTACTGAACTGAAATATATTCATTTGTTAAGTATCGCCTCTCGTTCATGTAAATATATCTTACAGAATAATCGTTATTTGATAATTATTTTTTACAGTGCCGACGAGATAATTGCTGCACAATCTGTCGGCAACTAGGGAGATAACTACAGGAATCTGTAATGTGGTGTCCAGAATGCAAAGTGGTCCTCTGCGAAAGATGCGTGAAGATACATTGGGTCAGCCCTATGTCAAGTAACCATGACCTCTTTGATCTTGAAACCAACCAGAATGGGGAAAAGGGGAAAGCCACGAGCCAATTCCTGAAAGGGAGAGAAGGTCCACAATAAAACCCCAGAAAGGTGTAATCTGGAAGGCACTGAAGCTAGTTAATAACACCATTGATACCTAAAAGATCTGTGGCAAGATCTTATTTAATATCCGCGCATGCCATCGCGAGTCCTCGTCATGAGAAGGTGTACGGAGCAGTTGTAGTCGCTGACGGTGACAATAACTGTATGTATCGATTTTACTCCAGAAACAACAAGTGGCGTTGCACTTCAAGTCGTCTGAAGGAATCTCCGTGGGGAGTAAACTCCAGGTGGAGAAGAAGCAGGTACTTGTTGCTGTCCCGAATCATGCCAGATACTCGAAAGTGGATGTCACCCCGGACCTAGTGCCGCTCTCAACCATCACAACACGTATCGGGTACTACTGTTCTGGCTGTACTGGAGTCCGTCATACGCTTGCGGCAAAGTACAGACTATTGCGTTGATATCCTGGATATGTCATGGGACTGGTGTTGAGGTCAGTTACGGCACACAACAATATGCAGCTGTTCAGCTACCCCCGATTACATCACAAACGTCAACAACAGCAACATCACTTGTGTCTGACTGGGGAGAAGTCTGCTGTATGTCTGACGTCTGAGAAGGGATGTTGTGAGATACGCCCCAGAAGGAGACAGAGCCCTTGGCATTCCGCACGGAATTACCACGACCAGGACGGAGACATTCTAGTGGTCAACAGTAACTCTAACACCATCATACAGCTTTCAGAGACGGGAGAGTTTATCAGAGATCTTCTGACTTCAGAAGATAAATGTATCTGCCCTGAAGAGTATTTTTCTGTCATTCACGCGGATCCTTCTTTATATGTTGTAACGCAGAGGTGAAGGAGTACAAATTTTAGTTGATTTTAACTCGTGCTGTCGGTGAACCTACTTTTACTCAAATCCATTGCTGTCAGGGCAATGATGACAGCCCACCGCAGCATAGAGGTAAGGAGCTGCATTCAGACTTCTGGTCGTCTGACCCGTACCTCGTACCCCAGAGGCCTGATGAAAACCTGCAGCAGTTCGATCTTCGCCCTCTCAAGTTCGATTTTGTAGAGTCTTGTTTCGATCAATCAGTGGAACGCACTGAACCTACCGGTCAGTCATCAACGTCATAGTTTCTGGTACCCGTTTATTTGTCTACCTCGATCGAAGAATGTGAAGCATTGCAACATTCGCCACTGCACGCGGACCTCTAGCAGTTTCCACCATGCAAATAGCCTGTAGGCGCTCTACCCGCTGCAGACGACTAATCATACATACACAATGAATGAAATCAAGTAAATCACAAGTGTGATGATGAACAGATTCACTAAGATTGACAGAAAATATGGTATACAGAGATTAATCGGCCTTCCTTGAAAGTGTCTGAATTATTGATGACGTCGAGTGGCGCTTCTGTGTGTGAATGTATGTGTTTTGGTGTTCGGTTTAAGAGGCATAAACGTTGTCTTTCTTCCTCATGCTTGGTATTTACATGCACGTATGTGTTAAATGAACCGCTGCCCAAAGTTCATGTGCATGTAGGTATGTTGCAACGTATTTGACCCAGTTCCTAATTTTCATGTTATTTTATGCTTTCTTTATCTGTTTATCTGGTTTCGTCATTTTATGAAATATTTACTACTGTAAAATTTGATGATTACACACAGCTATTTTAGAAAGTGGTCAAATGTAACATATGTTATATTTGGGATTACACTAGAATTTGTACTTTACTAAGAGAGTGGAAGTGGAAGTCGCGGTGGCTGAGCGGGTTAGGAGGCTGACTTTGTGTGTGCTAGCTTGATTAGGTGCCTGACTCTGAGGGTGTGGGTTCGAATCCCGGGTGGGGCTCTACCCAAAAAAAGTACTAGAATTTGTACTTTACTAAGAAAGTGTAATCCCAAATATAACATTTGTCATATTTGATAATAAGGCCACTTACATAGCTGGAGCTTCACGCCGTAATGGGTAAGCTCTAAGTGCTTACAACATGTTGGACATTATTACCCCCCAGGATAACCTGGGGAGGCGCTAGAAGGACAATAGTTTTATCCCACCGGGTACCCACCATCTGCTGGGTGAACAGGGACAATTTTTTAACAAACTCACTTGCCTCCTGGTAAGACCACACATGTGTCATGTGTACTTCGTTGTGGAGCAGGACAGAAGTCCAAGAAACAGAAATCAAGCTACCGAACACGGTCACCCATCCAGGATCTCTCCGTGACCAACGTTCCTTAACTTCATCTTTTTGTGGCCTTGGGCTCTATGCCCATGAAATTGTATATATGCCAATATAATTTGGTTAGTGCAAAACTATATTTCGACACAATTATTTGTAAATTTGTGGTTGTTAATTTTGCAATTTCAATGTATTCATATATCATTTGAATTAAATATTGAATATATTATGTACTATGAAACTTATTACATTTTCTTGAATTTATAGAAAGCTATTGTTTATTTTAGTTTTCTGAACCTCATCAACGTAACAACTATACTCAACTCAAAGCAACTAATATTCATCTGTGTAATCCTCAGTCACAGCCATGTACAATGAACTGTAAAATCTAATGTTAATAGTATTACAATAAACCCTGTTGATGCGAGTATCAGCTTTTGTGTTATTGCATTAACAATTGTAGTGGACAAGTTAGACTAACGCTTAGTCTCTGAATATTTATAATTTTGGTTGTAACAAATAAACCCATTTAAACTGAAAAGGGCTACCAGCGAGTCAAGAATTTAGAACCTGGGGCATGGTGGGCGAGCTGGCAAGGCGCCAGGCTAGTGATCAAAGAGAGCTTGAGGGTGTCGGGATCGAGCATGTGATTGGGTGTGGAGAAACCTTGGAGTCAGCCTTGAGTGCAGACTCTTTCAGTCACAACCCCTAGTGTACAGTACACAACCCTTTGCACTTAAAAGAACCAACACAGATATGTTGGTATATGACCAGATGGTGGCCACATGAATGCGTGCAAACACCTAGTTGCGGGTGAAGCAACGTGCAGTAAACTTGGATTAAAGTACTTGGGAAAGAGTTCCTTCCGTTCCGTTCCCCAACCCTAAACCTAACTCGAAACCCAACCCGAAACCTAACCCCTAACGTAAAATTCTCTAGTAATTGTTGTGTTAAGTTTTGTTAATAAGTTTAGTATATCTATAAATATTATTTGGGATGGGGAACAAGGGAGGAACTCTTACTAAGTAATGTGACTGTGTCCCAGTCCACCCAGCTGTCAGTTGGTACCTTGTAAGGATGAGAAAGCCGCAATAACTCGGTGCGCCTAGTAGCTGCAAAGAGTTCTATGCTCCCCAGGGAGTTAAGATTGATAATACGATATGCCGTGGAGATTGACATCCATTGATATCGAGGGAAAAATATCAACGCCTTGAACATGTACTAGTTGCGTGGATATGTGCGCTAAATAAATATCTTATAATAAAATAACCTGGGAAAATCTTGCTTCATTTAGGGCTTTAACATTGCAGCGAGGGGCTAGGCTGTAGGGACAATAATGTGGTTCAGGGACTGTGAGTAGCAATTTTATTCAATAAGAACTACTAATTCAAAATTAAAGAAGAAATTAAGGATGAAGAAATTGGAAACTACTTATCATTAAAAAAATAGAAATTGAGAAAAGAACAATTACTTTGATATCGGTGTATGTTCCCAATAGAGATATCCAAATTTATCCATAACATATTTGATATCATCAAACGCTTCGACTCAGAGTATTTGATTATTTGTGGAAATTGGAACATTATCCAAGATATTGAACTTGATCTTTATAACTACAAACATGGAAATAACACTAAGGCGAGAAATGTATTGATAGAATATATTGAAGAATTTAATGTTATTGATCCGTGGAGATAATAACCCTTTACAAGAGCGATATACGTGGCACCATCAAAACCTTATAAAACAAGCTAGACTGGACTATTTCCTTTATCAAAAGTCTTGAGAATTCTGTCACAAACACAGATATAGATCCAAGCTATAGGGCAGACCACTCATTACACTGGATTGCTTTGAAATTCAGTGATGTAGAAAAAAGGCCGTGGATTTTGGAAATTGAACAGCTCTCTCTTTTACGAGATAGAAATATATGTTGACAAAGTGAAGCGGATCAAAAGATACCACAAAACAGTATCAAAATAATACTAATGATATAGAAATGCCTTCCATGATTAATGACCAATTGTTATTTGAAACAATTCTCGTAATGATAAGGGGTTACACTATAAAATACTCAGCAGAAATGAAAAGAAAAGAAATAAGAGGAAAAAGAACTTGTTGACAATATTAACGACTTGGAAATAAAAGTTCAGAAAAGGATGACATTAAAGAAGATTTATTGTCACAAACGCAACAGGCAAAAGCAGAATTAGAATAGATTCATAAATACAAAAACTGACGGTTTTATAATGAGGATCAAGAAGTTGACTGGTATGAGCATGGAGAAAAACCACGCAAATTCTTCCTATCCCTTGAAAAGCAAAACTTCCTAAATAAAGCAATTACAAAACTAGAAAATGAAAAAAAATTAAATCGTAACAGGTAAAAACAATTTAGTGAAAGAAACAAAAGCATTTTACAAAATGTTATACACAAATAAAGATACCTAAAAGGTTAACTTACATGAGGCTTTTTAACAATGCTAAAATGCCATAACTTAATGATAACCAAAACAAAGCCTAGAAGGGTAATTGCTGTATAAACTCCAGGTCAAATATCTGTGTTTTATGTGGATTTTCGTTTGTTGATAGATCAGTGTCAGCGACCAGGAAGAGAAAAATCCAAAACCGTTTTTGTAAGTCCCCGCTGAACCATAACAAGTAGTCGTTGTCCGATTGGTTAAATCCGTTCGGCCGTTTGATTGGACGGTCACAGGTCGCTCAAAGGTTAGCTGACGCGACCTTCTACTAGGTTTTGTTAGACTCCAGTATAGCAGTGTAACGAATAAAAACTCTGTACACAAAAACGCATGTTTAATTTTGGTTGCGGATTTGATGCCATGGTTTTGTACCTAAACAAGACGAATAGAAACACGAGTGAGTAATCAGGCTTAACACTATACTATCTTAGTTTCATCACACCATGTCCGTTTGATGTAGGAGGATTCACCATGATGCGGACCAAGAAGCTGGTTATCTTTGGTAAAACCATGAGTGCCGGTACAAGTGATAAACCTGAGCAATACTCGGGATGAATATGGGATTCAAACCATGATAATGGTTTATTTTCCATCCAGACATGCAACTCTTCATATGCAAAACATGATCCCTGGTCTGTGATTCACAAGTCAAATCAATCATCTGTATTTCAACGACAACACGGCCAACATGGTCAAGATTTTAACAGTTTGTCTCTTTAACAGTATACAATGGACATTCAAGGAAGTAATGAAAACATCTCCACATTGACATGTTGCGTAATTCTTCTTACATAATTTATGTGTACTCATCATATATCTTAGAGCAAGTTACTTTGGCTCATAAAATGTTCAATTAGTATAATTTATAATCTTATATTTTATACTTTTCAAAATTAGTGTAATAAAATTAGTATAATAAAATTATAAATTCTCTTGGTGTTTTTATCTGGATTATTCCACTACAATGTGTACTTCAGGTAGTAAGCTAATCTGTTCATTGAACCACCAAATGTTGTTTTAAAAGCATCTGCTTGAACTGCCTGTCTGCTTTGTCTGCGTAATGGGAGGATACCACAATTTAAATCAGATCAGCGTAATATGCATTGAATACACGATGCCATTTGTAAAAGCGGTCAAACGTAGTATGTGTTAAAATTAGGTTTACAATTTCTCAATAAAGTACAGATTCTAGTAAGCATTATCAATCCAAATCTATGCTGTACTTACTTAGGTAGAAGCAGAGTAATATTATCTCAGTGTATAGCGTAGACTAACGCTGAGTCTCCTGAATATATGTCATTTTGGTAGGAAACAAACGATTCCTTTGAGGAGAATTGTACAGGGGCATCAGTTATGAAATACACAATGCCATTTTAGAAGTGGTCAAATGCTGTATAATGTTATATTTGGGATTACACTTTCTTAGTAAAGTCTGAATTCTAGTACTTTGGGTTGAGTCCCATCCGGGCCCGGAGGGTGTGGGTTCGAATCCCGGATGGGACTCAACCCAATAGAGTACATGTACTAGGAAAATCTGTACTTTACTAAGAAAGTGTAATCCCAAATATAACATATGAAGGAGCATCAGTTAGATGGGAGATTCTGGAACGTGAGGAAATCTAGATTTGCTTCATTTAGGGCTTTAGCAGTACGGAAAAGGCATGGCGAAAGGAAATAATGCGGTTCATGGACTGTGGAGGGCAGACTAGGTAAAACGGAGAATACATTTTCGTTCTTGTCGGTTGAGTGGATTCTTGAACAACTCAACTTGGAGGCACTAGTCATGTGACCAATGGACGAGTCACATGATACAAACATGGCGGTCTAATCAGCTGATATCGTGAATAAAGGAAATGAGTGAGTTCGAGGAGGTCGTCATGGGCACATCGTGCACATCCCACACACACCTATAGCCCAGTTCTTGTGCATCGACAGTCTTCTACACAAGGGCAACATGGGCATGAAGAAAGACGACGAAGTGGAGCATTTCATTTCTCAGAAGCCCCTCACAGTTTCCAACAGATTGTCAAAAAAATGAGTACTTCTTTGTGGGGGTTATCGTGGGGTTGATAACATCGTTTGTGCATTTGTCGGAGTCTATTTAGTGTTCTTTGACCAAGTCAGTGGTCAGTTTCAAAGGTTGCAGCGGTCAAGGTCGCAACTCCGTTATCAAGACTCCCCATAGCTGTAAGAACAAACCAGTGTGATATCTCTAAAGGCAAGAGTATATATATATATTTTGCATTCCTCAATGGCCGAGTAAAGGCAAGTATATAAATTATTTTGCATTCTCAATGGCTGAGTAAAGAGGCAAGTATATATTATTTTGCATGCTAATGTAAATAACCGAGTAACAATCTGATTGCCCCAATGGGCAAAAGACCTGTCAGGAAATACAACAGACCATTAATCAGTAGAAGTAGCTAAGATACATAGCGTTCACCGGCATCGTCAGAGCACGCTATGTATCTTCAAAGCTAAATCAATGGGTACCAAAGGTGCATGGGTTACCATACTCCCATAATTAGCACCTCTGTGCATTTGTTTATCAAACTTCCATACCCTCAGTATGTAGTAGTTCATATGAATAAGCTCGGTATTCCAGCCAAGACCTACATCAGCACACACCTTGGTATAGTGCAAAGTCGTCTAGTTATATGCTGGACTGACTAGGTATGTAGAGTCCTTACGCTTTATTATTATTTTAACTAACATGTTGCATAAGCTCCAGTCACTGAGACATTACATACAGAGAATTCTATGTTAATGATAAATAACTATTGTCATAGACAATGAAATTTCGTTTTTAAGATTTTATTTATTATTTCTATCTATTCTAGGAGATGTAATTCAAATAGAACATATTCAGCATCTATTAAGATGATTATAGAATTACTAAACTCAGTGATGACTCTGTTGTATGGTGCTTTCTACCTTGAGTTTATCTGACACTTACATGTACTGTTAAGTTATTTAGGAAAATTGATGAGATAATGTACATGTTGTAGAGACAACAGTTACCGTGCCCAGATATAACCTTCAAGATATATACTTTGTTAAAATGATGTTGAAACTGGTTAAGGAGAGGTCATGCAGTGTTCACTTAATGGTGTTCAAAGTAACAGGACATTGGGTCTGTATTAGTTTAAGATGTCTGTCTGACCCATTGAAAACTCACAGGACCCATAGAATAAAAATTAAACACACATTTCAGATTTTAACATTTCTTATAATTGGCATTGAAATTATTAACAAACATAAGATTTATTAACAGCCAACAAGCGTCACATGTCACATATAACAACTTCATCAGTCAAAGTCATTGTCAAATATACAGTCAGACACCGGGTCCGCGTGGACAGTACTTTTATCCAACCGCTGTCAATCTGCCGGATTTGTCAGAGGGTCTCGACGCTGCCCGTGCAGATGAACACGTCATTGCCATTTCATAACCGAGTTTGATGACATGCACCTACATCATGCTGTGACTCAATGCTCAGGAAAGTGTTAGTTAGTCCCTCAAGCATACAATGTTCTTTGAAAGGGATGGGAGTGTGCAATTTCCATGTCATTTTGTGTCCTACTTGCTTTGTAACTTTGTAGATTATTAAAAAAACCCACATCCCTGGGCTCGCCAATAGTACATGTATGTGGGGTTGTTTTCTAAAACTTATTTAAGTAGATCTAGTCATTACATTAAACATTACCTATTTGCTTTAAAGGTCAAGCATGCAACCAAAAATCAAACATAATTAAAACACAATTATCACTTCTTCCATGACATATAATATGCATCAGTTGATTATGAAAAAAAACAAATAAACAAAATTATAAGCGATAATCGCAAATCAAAAGTGCAATATCTTTGTACCTCTGGGTTTACTCCTCCTCAAAACTAAGCAGCCGGATACTCTAAACCCGTTTCTCAGAGGGTGGGTGTGCACTCAAGTGTAACGGCTAATTCATTAGGCAGATGCCGCCTTTATGCCATTGTGTGTGTATATATAGATGTTATTTTGTAAATACATGCAATACTTTTTGTGTATAACATCTTTGCAATCAACAGACATCATAAACATGTCATGTGTTCAAGTATCACACCCAATCTTCGTCTGTGTAATTACATAATCGTGACAGAGACCAACTCGGCCATAAATCAACGCGCTTTGTTTATGGTGTATAGCCCGATTGGTGTTAAGTTCAAATTGCATGTGGTCAGTGATCGCGAAGTTGTGTATTGAATATTGTCATTAGCAGACAGGCAGGCAGACACACTGGTGCCAATAAAACAAAGACATTGAGTTTTGGTCTGTGACAGCTAATATATCTATATTTCACAGTTAGAAATCGTGGTCAACTCTAAATAATGACATTTTTTGGCATCGAATTGAGAAAGTGACTCGTAAGAAGAACGCAGGTGAAATAGACAAATGAAATTATATAAACAGTTTATTTACTGTCATAACATACAAAAAGCTCAGCTACTCGTGAGATATCAACAAACATTAGGAAACTAGCTCACACCAAAAGCCTTCACCGAGTATTCACTCAGACAGCCCGCCTCCAAGTTAAGTGCTAACCTATTTCACCGCGATGTGCTATGAGCGCGAGCCAGCTGTTGAAACTCGCATTCCTGTGAAAAGTCTGGGAAAATTAGTGAAACGCTTGAACTCCGATTTCGCTGCTTTTTTCATCGCTATATTTTTCAACTTTATAAGTTGAATTTGCATTTTGACGCTTTGTTTCGGGTAAGTCCATACCGAAGGTATCAGAATCTGCAAAGTTGTGTTTTACGTTGCATGTGACCTTTAACTAAACAAAAACATAAGACAATAGATGTTCATGTTTTGCTGATGTGCAAATGTTGCTTTTGTTTATTATTGCTTAAAAAAGGTTGATGCATCTTTATATATTTTCTTTATATGTTTATAATTCAGATTAGCTTCTGAGATCTATGTCTCCTTTATTTTTACAACTTTCTGGAAATCAAGTTCTTGAAGATAATTCTGTCTGTAAACCAAGGACTTGAGGATAAGGGGCCGCAGTGTCAATGACTGCCTCTCAGTTGGTGAGGGGCAGGGAACCAACTGGTTAAAGCGTTCACTCGTCACGTCGAAGGCCCGGGTTCAAAATCCTACATGGTTACACACAATGTGTGAGGCCCATTTCTGTTGTTTACATAACCTTGATATTGGTGTCATATTGCTAAAAGGGGCATAAACCCCACTCAGATGGTTGTATTCATGTACTCTAATGCTTCCAGGTTCCTGACCGCTCGGACTGTTGGCCTGAGTACCGAGATGCTACCCAGTCCACTTGTGAGGCCCGGGTGCTGCTTGGAAATACGGATGTGGGCAAAGGGCACCCTACTGCTACTACCCCGGATACTTTAACGCAGCTATATGCTCATGTACTCACAGAAATCAAAGTAATTGGGGTCATTGGACACTTGGCGGACAAACAAACTCCCCTTATCCCAATGACTCCATGCAACTACTGTTAGAGATATCAGCTGAAACGCATGATGGGACTACATTATTAAAAGGTAAACCACTATTAATCCACATTATCACCTTTGAAATAGTAGGTTGGTCATTTGCACTTTAGCATTATTTTCATTTTCCTTTTTCCATTTGAGAAATGTGCCATATATACCATAGACAAGATGAAAACAGGACCACCAAAAGAAGTCTGCAGAAAAGTGTCAACTTATCTAAAGGTTACACTTTCCTTATTCTCATTTTTGGGGGAATAAGAGATCTGAGAACGACATCTTATCGCCGTGTGAACAAATAGAGAAAATGACTTTAGTTAGTGAAGACATCAAATTCGCAATTAAATATCACTAGACAACATTATTTACCTTTTGATTTTGCCAGGCATTGTACTATATGCAGGCATTAAGATTACAATGTGTATTATCTTGTAAACATAGCCGGAAAAGCAATTAGCTGTACACACGTTTCAACAGTACTACAAGTGATTAGATAAAACATACCCAATAATATAACAGAAATATTTTCTGATGCAGTGAGCAGAAAATAGTACCAGAAACTCTTGTTTTACCAAGAGAAATATATCCTAGCATTGTGACATTTTAATTGCAGATTTGGCTTTGTAAATATGAAATATTTATAATCATAACTAAGGTTATGTTGCAGCACTTTGATGTATTGCCAGATATGTACAATCTGACTATCACGCTGATGTCATAATCTACATAATGTCACGAATATATTCTTGCATCCATTGTTTATTTTTGTTTGACAGATCTATGATACAACCACTTCAAGATACGAGGTTCCCATTGAAACACAAAAGGAAGAGAGTGGTGGAGGGTCAGATACAGATTTTGACATCAAGCTGGCCAGGAACCCCTTTGGGATAATCATCAGGACGGCTGTCAACAGGACAAATATTGTAAGGAATTTCTGTCGTGATCTCAGATTTACTTCCATTACTCACCAATGTATTATGCATCCTTTGACTTTGTAAACAAGGAGAACAAAGCCTGTAAAAGTGGATTTGTCTGAGGAAACACTGTACATACTCTTACCCCTTCACTGACAGAGTTGATCCCTTTACTGACAGAGCTGACCCCTTCACTGACAGAGCTGACCCCTTCACTGTCAGAGTTGACCCTTTACTGACAGAGCTGACCCCTTCACTGACAGAGTTGACCCCTTCACTGACAGAGTTGACCCCTTCACTGACAGAGTTGACCCCTTCACTGACAGAGTTGACCCCTTCACTGACAGAGTTGACCCCTTCACTGACAAGAGTTGACCCCTTCACTGACAGAGTTGACCCCTTCACTGACAGAGTTGACCCCTTCACTGACAGAGTTGACCCCTTCACTGACAGAGCTGACCCCTTCACTGACAGAGTTGACCCCTTCACTGACAGAGTTGACCCCTTCACTGACAGAGTTGACCCCTTCACTGACAGAGCTGGCCCTTCACTGTCAGAGTTGACCCCTTTACTGACAGAGCTGACCCTTCACTGACAGAGCTGACCCTTCACTGACAGAGCTGACCCTTTCACTGACAGAGTTGACCCCTTCACTGACAGAGGCTGACCCTTCACTGACAGGCTGACCCCATCACTGACAGAGCTGACCCCTTCACTGTCAGAGTTGCCCCATTCACTGTCAGAGTTGACCCTTTATTACCCTCTCAGAGTTCAAAGGCTTTAGTTTTTCTCTCGTTCACTGGATGTCAATCTCAGCGGCACATCGTATTGTCAATCTCAACTCCTTGAGGAGCATACAACTCTTGCAGCCACTAGGCTCACCCGAGCTATTGTGGCATTCCCATCCTACTGAGGTAGCTATTCACAGCTGGGTGGACTGGGACACATAGTCACAGTACTTTGTCCAAGTTTTACTGCACGTTGCTGTACCCACAACTAGGTGTTTGCCGCGTGTACATGTGGCCACCATGTGGTCATATACCAACTGGATTCACTGTCAGAGTTGACCCTTTACCTGTTAGACTTGACCTGTTACCTGTCAGAGTTTGATTAAGTCAGTTTCAAACAATATCAATATTCTAATTTTCTTGCCAAAGGCACTTGTTTGAAATCAAAATAAATCCCTGCCCTACCTTAGACATAGATGTGAGTACCAGTGATATAGGTGTACATCTGGGGCATGCTTTTAATGTGTTTACACACACAGGGCTTTTGTTTGATTTCTTTACTGATATTTGTGTTTATTTGTGAACAGGTTTGACTCAACTGGCGTGTCCCCATTGATATTTGCTGACCAGTACCTTCAGATCGGGACTGCACTGACCACCTCCAATGTGTATGGCTTTGGAGAACACCGGTCAGGCTTCAAACTGGACACAAACTGGAAGAAAATGGTGTTCTGGAACCGAGATCAACCCCCAGAGGTAGCTGATGGCATTGGTTTATCAATACTTGATAATAGTCTAGCTATCTTAAAACTCGGCAAATCTGTATATTTTCCTCATTTAAAAGAAATCAGCCTGGACGACTGAGAAATAAGAAATACTGAATTTTTTATTTCTGAATATTGATATGGTACATGACAGTGTACGTTCAATGTGTGTGGTAATGAGCCGCGTCGCCTTCTGGATATTCAAATACGTGTTTATAGTGCCTCCCCATTGGTTTCTAGCCCACCATCTTTACCTAAACATGGATAATATATGTAATGTTATGTTTGTTTTCTGTTAGCCAAACTTGAACCTGTATGGGGCCCATCCTTTTTACCTGAACATGGACGAGCAGCACAATGCACATGGGGTGTTCCTACTGAACAGTAACGCTATGGGTAAGACTCTTCAAGAAAAGAATGTTCTACAACAACAAGTACCTAGTGTTAAGCTCTAGTATTACTATGGTAAAATGAAACACAGAGACTATTTGCTTTATATTTATAGTTTTCAAGCCTCACAATATTGTTCATTACATTATAAACCTTTACTGTCATAAACATAAGATCAAAAGCTTTCACAGTAAAACCTACATGAGGTTCACATATATTGCACTCAGTGATATGCTTGCAGAAATGCACTTACAAAGTCTTAGTCATGCTTACAAAAGGGACATAACTCTGAGTGTGTCAACTGATTGGTTGACAATTTGATATCCTAGATTTGTTTTAAAGGGCGTTGATCCAGAGCAATTTCCGTGGACTGGTTGTTGCTTTTTTATTGTTTTTCTTCCGTGAGTACCGGATGATATCCCCAGTTAATTGACTGGTTCATGACCTCTGCTGCATACCACCATGCCTAATTGATAGCATAAGTATAGACTGATCAACAAAGTTTTTACTTCATTGTTATGAAAACAAATGAAAACGCTTTGAAGTTTAATCATCTGCCAGTGGTAAAAACTGTTAGGACAGAAAAATAACAAAGTCAATGTACGTCTTTATATTTTGTCTTTTAATCCAAATAAGTTTATTATCATATTTGTATGCATTTTGAAACTAAATAAAAAAGCATACGATCTGCTTATACTTATAGTGAATTTATAACATGTCTTTAATATCTAGACATTGTATAGATTGTCAATGTGAATCATATTTCACACACATGCCCTAAGTATGACCTAGTGTATGTTGTCTGTCATACAGATTCTGCTGAATGCTACAACAAATGAATAAAAACAAGATGCAAATATTAAAATTAAAACAGACTCAAGTTATAGCAACAATGTCAGGCTATTACCTTGTTCTGGAATGTATCCATCAATATCCACATAATAGAACGATATGCCATTCATCTGCAGCTGGTAAATAATCCTGCTCCATGTCATGTGTCTTTTAACAGTCTACTATGCGATAAGGTGATACACCGTAATTAGACCGTTGGCGATAAACATCAATTGCTCTGGATCAGTGGCCTGTAAGGCATGCTTGTGACATCTTCTTTTTTTATGGAATATGAATATTCTTTTGAAAACTAAAGTGCTGACTTGGATAAATTCATATTGTATTCCTTTTATATTCAGTTTTTTGAATATTTGAGGTAAAATATTAAATTTTTGTTTAGTTAGCACATGCACAATGGCAATACAATATAAAGCAGTGGTAACAGCATTAAAGACAGTAATGAAAATATCCACCTCGCTGCAACTGTAGTCAAGCTTCTAAAGTAGACCTGGCCTGGGAATCCTAGATGAAAAGTAACTGCTAGTCTCCTTGTAATGTGAGATGTAATATGAGATTACCCAGATAGAGCTTACCTCTGTATATGTATATACAGTCAAATCCCGATGAGTCGAATTGCTGGGGACCAAGTAATAAATTGGACTTATCGGTTTTTTTCCAGACATAGGTATGTCTATGAGGGTAGAAAAAAAGATGATCCAGTCCTAATTCCTCCACCCTAAGCATTTGTTTACCTAATGATTTCCCTATCACTAATAGGGGCACCTTATCAGTTCCAGTCTGATTAGCACAGACAGTGATTTCCGTAAAATCACTAATCTGCCTTTTGAACTCACCCGTCAATGGCGGAAAGGTGTGAGCCGCGCTGGTTTGTTAATTGGATCAGTTTGCTACACCAACTTCTCATTGACTGACTTCTGCTTATGTATACAAGATTGCTGTTGTTTGAATCTCGTGGGACCAAATTTCCTTCTCGAGTCATCGTGTGTATTTATGAGACGAATTCGTGTAACCGGTATTCAAATGATGACAACTATAACAGGGAATGGTCGGGACCGACAGGTACTTCGAGTTATGCATAATATTCGAGACACCGGCCTCGACTCATCGGGATTTGACTGTATATATATACAAAGCTCCCAGAAGTTTCTGTTCTGTCACTTACCCTAAGCTGCTTGGTCAGAATACCGGGAATATTCTAGGTGATCTGGTGACTTCTAAACAACTCTCCCAGTCTCAACATTGTAACAGGCACACCACTGCCTCAAACTGAACAATGTAATACAATTGCAACGCTGTTCCACAATTTACAACTCTACCTCATAACTAAATGAAAGGTGAGGATATTTGGTACATGAGCCTCTTATTAATCAGAATATCATTAAACGTGGGATGCCCATGTATGTAGTTGCCCTTCTTGCTAGTATATTATCACTACCCAGCAGGCACATCAACGTTGTTTCAAGCGTTGAGAATAGGTTGATCCTCAGCGTTGAAAATAGATTGAAAATAGGTTGTATATGAAGAAGTTCTTTTTGGCGTAGATATCCGACATGGAATCAACGTTGAAGTTTGACCGATTATCAGCGTTGAGAATAGGGTTGATCCTCAGCGTTGAAAAAATAGATTGAAAATAGGTTGTATATGAAAGTTTTTGGCGTAGATATCCGGCGATGGAATCAATGTTGAAGTCTGACATATTATTAGCGTTGAAAATGGGTTGTTCGTGGAGTTTGTGTCTGGAGGTATTCACGCTTTCTTGTAAATAGACTCGCACTTCATCTTTAAACTACAATAAAGTAGCACCAAACTCCTGCATCCAGCTAAAATACCCAAAAGCTACCTGTAATAAACAGTGTTCAAACAGAAAATTGCAGTAAAAATATTTACCTGATAAAATACTTGGTTCAAATTCCACATTCAATATAATGTTCATTTAAGTTTTATGTCAGTTGGATATATAATTCCAGTAAGAAGAAAAGAGTATTCCAAATTAAGAAAAACTATTTACTGTTGTATTGTTACCTTGAAAAGGTGAAAATTGTCCCGAAGAGAAGACATTTTGTCTGAATTTCAGCTGTTAGACAGACCCCCTGAATAAACACAATGCAATTACTTTCACCATGAAAGGGATCCAAGATGACCAGGAACTATACCTGAAGACAGCACATAAAACAAGTCACTTTTCATGAAATCTTTATGAACACACACGCACACACAGAAAGCGTGGTTTAATGCATAATGTAAAACATCACACATGACATAGTCTGTAGGTGATCTCTGTTGTGCTAATAACACAATATCATCTGCACATAGCATCAAAGTGACATTTACGCCACCAATTTCAATACCACAGTCCAGATTTTTTTTTCAACACAGTTACAACTCCAAAACACAATTATCAGCTCCTCTTAGTTTTGCCACTCCTGCCTGGCGGTCAGGGTGGATACTTCAGAAGCGTTCCTAACTCTTTCTTGAAATTTGCTTGGATGCATTCCCATCTCATTCCCTTGAGATAGGACACATTCTGAAATTTTATATTTAAATACATGAATAAGTTATATGGAAGATATATTGTCTTAAATGATTCAAGTATTTGTTTAATCAATCACTTGAAAGGTTCATTTCACTGCTGTAACTTGGCATGTGAACATATGAACAGCATCAATACAAAATATGACGAAAAGTGTAAACAATTTATATTTTCAACCTAAGAAATGGAAGTTTTTTCTTAAACATTTTCAAAGAAAATCCCTCAATTTGCAAGTTGATTACTTAATTAGACTATGAATTACCGATAGGATGAATTAGGACGATGCTTTACTGTCATATATTATTTGCTATGGTCATGATGAAAATGCTGCACTTGGTAATTAACTTACCAGAGATGATTGAATACAACCTTGTATTCTTAAAAAGAAAACTTGCCGTTTTGCCCATCAACATTCATTCTTGACATCAAATTGTTTGACATTGTCCTGCAAAACAATGGAAGATTGTTGTTATTCTGTCAGATTTAGTTTTCTTTAGAGATTCTCGGAAATGATTATTTCAAATTAATAGGAGTTGAACTGATGTAGCAATTTTGCTAACAGGAGTCATAGATTGTAACAAAAGCCATTTTACATTAAATGATAAGAAAACAAAATGGGTGGTGGTTCACAGGTCAAAGAACAAGTCTATTGTGGGAGGTCTCCCAACACCATTTGTTCCCAAACACAAGGAAGTATGGATCATGGAGTTCTAGAAAACAATAATGAGCTCTCATAGGTATGCAATATATTCTCTATTATCTACTCTCTCTCTCTTTGTCATTTGTACTCCTCATAAAACTCAGATAAATAACTTTTATATAATTCATAAATGTTTACACTTAATCTCTTATAGGAACGCTTTTAGAAAATCTCTCATATAATGAATTATGTGTATGCATTATTATCATGACGTCTATAACTATGCTTCTCTGAATCATGAACAATAAAATAATGAGATTAAACTCTACATTGCCAGAAATAATCTATCATACCCTGAATAATAAGACATTGAATAACATCTCTTACAACTCCAATCTACACTCAAAAAGACTTAAATGTACTCAGTAAACAAACATCGCTGGCACACATGAATTCTTGGAAACAGTGCATCTCTGACTCTCAATTCCAAGAAATGGAAGTCCTACTCTATTTGACCAAAGGGTGACAGGTGGCCAAAACATATTGAAATGTAGGTCATACACTGAAAATAACTCTGATTTAAAACACTACAAATATACACCTTCTCTCTAATATACTCGATAGATGATCTTAACAAGGGAACATGTACATAAAATGCTGATATCTAACAACACCTGTACTTTTAAATAATGGACTCTTCAAAAATCTCAGTATGTTTCACTGCACACATATTAGATTGCACAAATAATGAAAAACCTACCCTTTGACAATAATAAAAACATCATATTCAAATTCTACAGCTGACCAAATACCTGAAGAGTGTGTTTCCCAGCAATAAACATCTCTATATATCTATAAATGTATGACTTCTGTCCTCTCGTGCTATCTTGCATCCAGCTGTTTACGGCGAAAAACAATATGGCGCCAAGCAAGGAGTGTTCATTAAACTAACATCTCCGGGAGAAATCATTGTCAATTTTTTTCTTAAATGATCAACCTTAACCTATAAATGAAAATAAAGACCAACTTTTATCACCAAAAGACCAAACATTATCACAAATATTCAAAACAGGTGGTAATGAAAGAGCATTATCATCTTTCTCTTAAACTTTGTGGTGGATATACTGGAAACAAGTGAAATGTTAAAAGCGTGTTACCTTAGCCTTGCTCCTTTTATGTGATCCACAAAATTGCTGCCACCCAGTCTTCAAGATGAGATTTCTGCAAATTCCATTGACATAATCTTATTTCATAATTAAATGTTCCTTACATTAAAATTACTTCTTTGTATGTAAGATTTTAACCTTTACGAGACATGAATTATCATATCCCTTCCAAACAAAGTGTAAGAATGAAATTCTGTGGGTGCAGTTTTGTTAATTTGTCCCATCAAAGAATCATTAGTGAAGTTACACTTTTTGTAATAAATAAATAAAAGTTCAAATAAATTATATACAATTTCATCCTTCAAAGACTTTCACAAGACATTTTAAAATGTAACAGTTAACAAAATCCAAAAAGGGAAAATTGCTCAAGTAAGAAAATTTTTCGTTGACAGGGTTCAGAAGTGCTCAATGCATCATTTTACTGATAGATCTATTCAAACTGAACAAATGTTCATAATAATGGGATGCAATATAAAATGTTGATTAATTCTATCCGATTTTGTATAGCCTTAGGGATCGATTCATAATGTATGGCTTTTGGGTGATGTTGATTTTATGTACAATGAATTACACACACACACCCCAACACACACCCCACCCCTTAACATGTACATAAAATGCTGATATCTAACAACACCTGTACTTTAAATAATGGACTCTTCAAAATCTCAGTATGTTTCACTGCACACATATTAGATTGCACAAATAATGAAAAACCTACCCTTTGACAATAATAAAACATCATATTCAAATTCTACAGCTGACCAAATACCTGAAGAGTGTGTTTCCCAGCAATAAACATCTCTATATATCTATAAATGTATGACTTCTGTCCTCTCGTGCTATCTTGCATCCAGCTGTTTACGGCTAAAAACAATATAAGCCAAGCAAGGGAGTGTTCATTAAACTAACATCTCCGGGGAGAAATCATTGTCAATTTTTTCTCTTAAATGATCAACCTTAACCTATAAATGAAAATAAAGACCAACTTTTATCACCAAAAAAGACCAAACATTATCACAAATATTCAAAACAGGTGGTAATGAAAGAGCATTATCATCTTTCTCTTAAACTTTGTGGTGGATATACTGGAAACAAGTGAAATGTTAAAAACGTGTTACCTTAGCCTTGCTCCTTTTATGTGATCCACAAAATTGCTGCCACCCAGTCTTCAAGATGAGATTTCTGCAAATTCCATTGACATAATCTTATTTCATAATTAAATGTTCCTTACATTAAAATTACTTCTTTTGTATGTAAGATTTTAACCTTTACGAGACATGAATTATCATATCCCTTCCAAACAAGTGTAAGAATGAAATTCTGTGGGTGCAGTTTTGTTAATTGTCCCATCAAAGAATCATTAGTGAAGTTACACTTTTGTAAATAAATAAAAGTTCAAATAAATTACATACAATTTCATCCTTCAAAGACTTTCACAAGACATTTTAAATGTAACAGTTAACAAAATCCGAAAAGGAAAATTGCTCAAGTGAAAATTTTCGTTGACAGGGTTCAGGGCGTGCTCAATGCATCATTTACTGATAGATCTATTCAAACGAACAAATGTTCATAATAATGGGATGCAATATAAAATGTTGATTAATTCTATCCGATTTTGTATAGCTGCCCTTAGGGATCGCTCATAATGTATGGCTTTTGGGTGATGTTGATTTTTATGTACAATGTGAATTACACACACCCCCACACCCCCACCCCTTAAGTGCATGCAAATATATTGAAAAATAACAAAACAAGTTCATGGAAACACGGGCTTCCACTAAATTTTGAGAAACATGTACTGTGACATACCCGGTAACCTTGTGAGATAAAACATGAGCCCTAATTCGAGTTTCTTGCTACTGCTAGATTTAAACGGCATTCCTACGCTTTCATTGTACATGAAGGACTTACTTACCAAATAAACACCAGCATGCCGTGAAGATGGTGAAATAGAACGATATTGAGTTGAACTTCGCCAAAGTGAACTGACAACGATCAGCTGCCTTTGCGCTACAATAATAATTGTGCGCGATGTCCGATATGGCCAAACGAGGGGCGATCGAAAAGGTCAACATCTGGCTTGTGTTTGAAAGCAAATTGTCGGGAATTATACAATTTTCACAGTTTTGTGGGAAAATATCAAATGTAATGCAATTTGGATAACTGATGACTTTATACCTAAACTGCGATTTACTTAATATTTCCGTCCGCTGATCGATGCACAATCAAAATAATATATAAGATTATATCTGTCACTAGCCTCGATCTTGATCTTTTATGAAAATAATGTTCGAAATGATAGTTGCTAAGTTGGATACCTATTACCAATATGAATTATGTATCAATTTTGCCAAGGAAACAATTAGTTGACAATTTGTTGGTTCCTTACGCTGAAACAACGCTGACAACTAAACGAATGTCGACTAACTTTCTTTGTCGCGATGATAAACGTTGAATCAACGCTTATGAAAGGTTGATCAACCAAACAACCAAAATTCAACGCTGATTCAACGCTGATTCAACGCTGTGTGCCCTCGCTGGGTAGGTAATGTCCACATTGTCTGTAATATTTCCCTTTACAAGTAATAACTTCACACCTTACTGTTTTGGTTCCAGAGGTTGACTTCCAACCATTTAATGGCACTGGTGCAGTGACCTACCGAGCTTTGGGTGGTATTCTTGACTTCTACATCTTCATTGGGCCGACGCCAGACATGGTCGTGCAGCAGTACACCAACCTGGTGGGGAGGCCGTTTCTGCCGCCATTTTGGTCACTCGGCTTCCATATGTGCAAATATGGCTACAACAATGCTGCAGAATTAAAGAAAGTGATTGCAAGGAACAGAGCTGCAAAAATGCCATATGTATGTTTCCAAAAATCTTATGCATGTACTAAAATACCTAAAATATATGTGCCCAAAAACCTTTTTATGTGTTAAAATATCATATGTACAAAGTACCTTCAGTATATGTCAAAATACCTTATGAATGTGCTTATATAAATCCCTTATTCATCTACCAAAATACCTTATTTTTAAACTTATCATATCTCACGTAGTGTACTTTCTTTCTTGATTCGACAGCTAAGTGGAAACAAACTGCAAATGAAGCTTGCCAGACTCGCTTGTACCAATCGCCCAACACTCCCTACTGCTCCCTTTCTGGGATAGCCTCAGCTCCTGTGAAGCATGCAGCATGCCCTGTGGTTGATCATGTGACTCCTGTGTCTGATCATTCTCTCTTGTCGCACTGCAGTGCAGACATATTGTATTTGAGTTATATTGATTACCAGTTTCTCTTCATCAAAGTAAAAGAAAAAGATAGGAAAAGAAGATTCCTCTTTAAGGAAAAGGAAATATTGTCCTGAGTGTAAGAAGGTCTCCTCATCTGCCGATCCCCATTCCACTTGTATAGATTGCATCGGTCTTTGTGATTGGGAATCGCGTTGCCACCTATGCCAGCACTTGATGTTTGATCTGTTTTCATCTTATAACAAAGTCCGTCAGCTCATAAGAAGGCCAAGAAGGACAGGCCAGTTAAGAAACCACAGAGGTCGTGGAGATTGTGGAGCGCAAAGAATTTCTTGAAGTATTGTCAGACTCTATTTAGATGAGAACCTGAGACATTTGTTTTGGCCTAAAGCGTTTTCGCCCAAGCCTTTGGTTGCATCCAGAGTGGTAGTGGTTCCCGAAACTCAGAATGGGTGTGAGCCAACATCGATTATGTTGGAGACAGAAGACATTCAAGATCGTCCCTTGGATCAGTCCCGTTGTGTGTCGACAATGTATTCATCGATCCAGTCTGCAGCATTGCAGGTATATCAGCCATCTTTGACGGTCACAGCTCAGTTGGATACGTCTCCCGTCTCTTTATCCTATGAATCTGATTTACAGGCTATAAACGCTGAGGATATCAGCTCCAGTTCAACCGTTCGCTCCAGTTCAGCAGGACATGCTAGGTCCGCGATCCCGTTTGGTTTGTCAATCCATCACATAGTGGGACACAATTATTTCAAACTACTATAAAGTTCGTCGCAACCAGTCTTACCAGTATCATAAGATCATACACCGAACGTTTCACCGCAACCTAATAGGAATTTTTAATTATGGATGCGTGCTCTAACCGCTGGTTGGAAGCAGATTCAACAAACGGATCAGCAATCTGAACAACGTATTGGGGAGACCTCTGACTGGGTAATCTGTGGCCCACTGACCTACCATGGGATAAGTACACTACATGAGATGGAATAAGTTTTAAAATTTGGAAATTTTAGCTATAAATTGTATATTTACAATACTTATCCTATCTCACACGATTGATGCTTGACTGACCTAACCCTCTAAGACGGATGACGATTAAGCTCCAAGAGGAGAATGATCAGACAAAGGAGTCACATGATCAACCACAGAGCATGCTGCATGCTTCACAGGGGCTGAGACTGTCCAGGAATGGAAGCAGTGTTTGGCAGTTGATATAAGTGAGGCCGGAAAACTTTGTTTGCAGTTTGTTCTTCACAAGAGGTCTTAAAGATTACATACATGCAGATCTTGGAGCACTTCATGCAACATATATGGCACCACCGTCTATGAAGTGATATCGGCTCATATATATGGCATAGAATTGTTTGAACTAAACTTATACCTTAAACATTGTGTATATCAAAGTCTGACCGTTGAATTTGATCACATGCTATTTGAATTAGTAACAAAGAAGATTCAGTATGATCTGATGTCAATTGCTACACTAAATTCTTCAAATAGATTTACATAATTGATTGAATTTAATGCTGTAGATAGATAAAACAAAACATTTAACAACCCAATCCATTGATCTATAGGATGTCCAGTGGAACGACATCGACTACATGGCAGCACATCTTGACTGGACATATGACAACACGACATACCCTGATCTGCCAGACATTGAAGCAGACCTGCACAAAAACAACCAGCGATATGTCATCATTGTGGTGAGTATGTGCAGCTGCTGTACTGAGGTGATATGTCATCATTGTGGTGAGTATGTGCAGCTGCTGTACTGAGGTGATATGTCATCATTGTGGTGAGTATGTGCAGCTGCTGTACTGAGGTGATATGTCATCATTGTGGTGAGTATGTGCAGCTGCTGTACTGAGGTGATATGTCATCATTGTGGTGAGTATGTGCAGCTGCTGTACTGAGGTGATATGTCATCATTGTGGTGAGTACGTGCAGCTGCTGTACTGAGGTGATATGTCATCATTGTGGTGAGTACATGCAGCTGCTGTACTGAGGTGATATGTCATCATTGTGGTGAGTACGTGCAGCCGCTGTAATTGAGGCTGATATGTCATCATTGTGGTGAGCAACGCAGCCGCTAAAATTGAGGTGATATGTCATCGTTGTGGTGAGTACCACGCAGCCGCTGCACTGAGGCTTATATGTCATCATTGTGGTGAGCACGCATGCAGCCGCTGTGTATTGAGGCGATATGTCATCATTGTGGTGAGTAACACGCAGCCGCTGTAATTGAGGTGATATGTCATCATTGTGGTGAGCACTACGCAGCTGCTGCAATTGAGGTGATATGTCATCATTGTGGCGGAGCACAAGCAGCCGCTGTAATTGAGGTGATATGTCATCATTGTGGTGAGCACAAGCAGCCGCTGTAATTGAGGTGATATGTCATCATTGTGGTGAGCAACACGCAGCCGCTGTAATTGAGGTGATATGTCATCATTGTGGTGAGCATCACGCAGCCTGCTGTAATTGAGGTGATATGTCATCATTGTGGTGGAGAACCACGCAGCCGCTATACTGAGGCTTATATGTCATCGCTGTGGTGAGTACGTGCAGCCGCTATAATTGAGGTGATATGTCATCATTGTGGTGGGAGTACATGCAGCCGCTGTACTGAGGTGATATGTCATCATTGTGGTGAGCACCCACGCAGCTGCTGTACTGAGGTGATATGTCATCATTGTGGAGTACCATGCAGCCGCTGCAATTGAGGTGATATGTCATCATTGTGGTGGAGCACAAGCAGCCGCTGCAATTGAGGCGATATGTCATCATTGTGGTGGAGCACCATGCAGCCGCTGCAAATTGAGGTGATATGTCATCATTGTGGTGAGCACCACGCAGCCGCTGTACTTGAGGCGATATGTCATCATTGTGGTGAGTACGTGCAGCTGCTGTAATTGAGGTGATATGTCATCATTGTGGTGGAGTACTACGCAGCCGCTGCAATTGAGGTGATATGTCATCATTGTGGTGAGTACGTGCAGCCGCTGTAACTGAGGTGATATGTCATCGCTGTGGTGAGTATGTGCAGCCCTGTACCTGAGGTGATATGTCATCATTGTGGTGAGCACGCGCAGCCGCTGTAAATTGAGGTGATATGTCATCATTGTGGTGAGCACCGCAGCCGCTGTACTGAGGTGATATGTCATCGTTGTGGTGAGTATGTGCAGCCCTGTAACTGAGGTGATATGTCATCATTGTGGTGGAGCACAAGCAGCCGCTGTAATTGAGGTGATATGTCATCATTGTGGTGAGCACCGCAGCCGCTGCAATTGAGGTGATATGTCATCATTGTGGTGAGTACTACGCAGCCGCTGTAACTGAGGCTTATATGTCATCATTGTGGTGAGTACATGCCTTCGCTGTACTGAGGTGATATGTCATCATTGTGGTGAGCAACGCAGCCGCTGTACTGAGGTGATATGTCATCATTGTGGTGAGCACCGCATGCAGCCGCTGCAATTGAGGTGATATGTCATCATTGTGGTGAGCAATACGCCGCTGTACTGAGGCGATATGTCATCATTGTGGTGAGCAATCACGCAGCCGCTGTACTGAGGTGATATGTCATCATTGTGGTGAGCACCGCAGCCGCTGCAATTGAGGTGATATGTCATCATTGTGGTGAGCACCACGCAGCCGCTGTAAATTGAGGTGATATGTCATCATTGTGGTGAGCAACGCGCAGCCGCTGTAAATTTCGAGGTGATATGTCATCATTGTGGTGAGTACCACGCAGCCGCTGCAACTGAGGTGATATGTCATCATTGTGGTGAGCACATACGCCGCCGCTGTAATTGAGGCGATATGTCATCATTGTGGTGAGCACCACGCAGCTGCTGCAATTGAGGTGATATGTCATCATTGTGGTGGAGCACATGCAGCCTGCTGTAAATTGAGGTGATATGTCATCATTAGGTACATCGGTGAGCACCGCAGCTGCTGTACTGCAGGAGGCCGATATGTCATCATTGTGGTGAGCAATCACGCAGCCGCTGTACTGAGGTGATATGTCATCATTGTGGTGAGTAGCACACGCAGCCGCTCGTAATTGAGGCGATATGTCATCATTGTGGTGAGTACGCAGCTGCCATAATTGAGGTGATATGTCATCATTGTGGTGATTACTACGCAGCCGCTGTAATGAGGTGATATGTCATCATTGTGGTGAGCACCACGCAGCCGCTGTAATTGAGGCGATATGTCATCATTGTGGTGAGCATCACGCAGCTGCTGTAATTGAGGCGATATGTCATCATTGTGGTGAGCAACACGCAGCTGCTGTAATTGAGGCGATATGTCATCATTGTGGTGAGTACCACGCAGCTGCTGTACTGAGGTGATATGTCATCATTGTGGTGACCACAAGCAGCCGCTGTAAACTGAGGCGATATGTCATCATTGTGGTGAGCATCACGCAGCCGCTGCAATTGAGGTGATATGTCATCATTGTGGTGAGCACCACGCAGCCGCTGTACTGAGGCGATATGTCATCATTGTGGTGAGTACTGTGCAGCTGCTGTACTGAGGTGATATGTCATCATTGTGGTGAGTACACGCAGCTGCTGTACTGAGGTGATATGTCATCATTGTGGTGAGTACGTGCAGCCGCTGCAACTGAGGTGATATGTCATCGCTGTGGTGAGTATGTGCAGCCCTGTAATTGAGGTGATATGTCATCATTGTGGTGAGCACAAGCAGCTGCTAACAATTGAGGGCGATATGTCATCATTGTGGTGAGCACGCACGCAGCCGCTGTAATTGAGGTGATATGTCATCATTGTGGTGAGCACCACGCAGCCGCTGCAATTGAGGCGATATGTCATCATTGTGGTGAGTACGTGCAGCCGCTATACTGAGGTGATATGTCATCATTGTGGTGATTACCACGCAGCCGCTGTACCTGAGGTGATATGTCATCATTGTGGTGAGCAGCACGCAGCTGCTGTATTGAGGCGATATGTCATCATTGTGGTGAGCATCACGCAGCTGCTGTAATTGAGGCGATATGTCATCATTGTGGTGAGAGCACACGCAGCCGCTGTAATTGAGGCGATATGTCATCATTGTGGTGGTGAGCAATTACGCAGCCGCTGTAATTGAGGTGATATGTCATCATTGTGGTGAGCACAAGCAGCCGCTGTAACTGAGGCTGATATGTCATCATTGTGGTGAGTACGCAGCTGCTGTACTGAGGTGATATGTCATCATTGTGGTGAGCATCACGCAGCCGCTGTAATTGAGGCGATATGTCATCATTGTGGTGAGCACATGCAGCCGCTGTATTGAGGTGATATGTCATCATTGTGGTGAGTACCATGCAGCTGCTGTACTGAGGTGATATGTCATCATGGTGGTGAGTACGCGTGCAGCTGCTGTACTGGAGGTGATATGTCATCATTGTGGTGAGTATGTGCAGCTCCTGTATTGAGGTGATATGTCATCATTGTGGTGAGCACCGCAGCAGCCGCTGTACTGAGGTGATATGTCATCATTGTGGTGAGCAACGCAGCCGCTGTACTGAGGTGATATGTCATCATTGTGGTGAGTATGTGCAGCGCAGCCTGTACTGAGATGATATGTCATCATTGTGGTGAGCAACAAGCAGCCGCTGTAACTGAGGTGATATGTCATCATTGTGGTGAGCAACGCGGCAGCCGCTGTACTGAGGTGATATGTCATCATTGTGGTGAGTACACGCAGCTGCTGTAATTGAGGCTGATATGTCATCATTGTGGTGAGTAATACGCAGCTGCTGCAATTGAGGTGATATGTCATCATTGTGGTGAGTACATGCCGCTGCTGCAATTGAGGCCATATGTCATCATTGTGGTGAGTACATGCAGCTGCTGTACTGAGGTGATATGTCATCATTGTGGTGAGCAATCACGCAGCTGCTGTAATTGAGGTGATATGTCATCATTGTGGTTAGCACAAGCAGCCGCTGTAATTGAGGCGATATGTCATCATTGTGGTGAGTACATGCAGCTGCTGTACTGAGGTGATATGTCATCATTGTGGTGAGTACATGCAGCTGCTGTACTGAGGTGATATGTCATCATTGTGGTGAGTATGTGCAGCTGCTATACTGAGGTGATATGTCATCATTGTGGTGAGCAACAGCATGCAGCTGCTGTACTGGAGGTGATATGTCATCATTGTGGTGAGTACCATGCAGCTGCTGTAATTGAGGCATGATATGTCATCATTGTGGTGAGTACATGCAGCCAAGGTAACTGAGGCGACATGTCAATATTGTGGTGAGCATCACGCAGCTGCTGTAATTGAGGCATTATATGTCATCATTGTGGTGAGCACCATGCAGCTGCTGTAATTGAGGCGATATGTCATCATTGTGGTGAGTACGTGCAGCCGCTATACTAAGGCGAGCATGTCATCATTGTGGTGAGTAACATGCAGCCGCTGTACCGGAGGCGATATGTCATCATTGTGGTGGAGTACGTGCAGCCGCTATACTAAGGCGACATATGTCATCATTGTGGTGAGCAACACGCAGCTGCTGTACTGAGGCGCATATGTCATCATTGTGGTGAGCAATCACGCAGCTGCTGTACTGAGGTGATATGTCATCATTGTGGTGAGTACTACATGCAGCTGCTGTAATTGAGGTGATATGTCATCATTGTGATGAGTATGTGCAGCTTCCTTTGGTAATTGAGGTGATATGTCATCATTGTGATGAGTAAGATGCAGCCGCTGTACTGAGGTGATATGTCATCATTGTGATGAGTAAGATGCAGCTGCTGTACTGAGGCTTATATGTCATCATTGTGGTGAGTACGTGCAGCCGCTATACTGGAGGCGATATGTCATCATTGTGATGAGTAGATGCAGCTGCTGTAATTGAGGCTATATGTCATCATTGTGGTGAGTACGCAGCGCCGCTATACCTGAGGCTTATATGTCATCATTGTGGTGAGCAACTACGCAGCCGCTGTACTGAGGCTTATATGTCATTGTGGTGAGTACGTGCAGCGCTATACTGAGGCTTATATGTCATCAGGATGAGTAAGATGCAGCCAAGGTAAATTGAGGTGATATGTCATCATTGTGGTAGAGCATCACGCAGCTGCTGTAATTGAGGCGACATATGTCATCATTGTGGTGAGCACCGCATGCAGCCGCTATAATTGAGGCTTATATGTGTTGTTTGTTGCCCATGTTCATTCTGTGGCTTTATACAGGATACAGGTATTTTATAATTAGAAATTGACCACGCAATGAATATTGCAATCATGAAGTTTCATCACTGTTTGGTTCAATTGAAAATCCCTTTAAAACATGTTACAGTTTGTCTGAAAAGTTATTTAAAAATGTTTGTATTAAAGAACGTATTAATGTGTGTTTTCTTTCTTAAGTTCATATGGTAGCCTAGTGGTTAAAGCGGTTGCTTGTCATGCAGAAGACCTGGGTTCGATCCCCCACATGGGTAAAATGTGTGAAGCCCATTTCTGGTATTCCCTGCCATGATATTGCTGGATTATTGCTAAAAGCGGCATAAAACTAAGCTCACTCACTCATTCTTAAGTTCATAACTTCTAAAACTGCCTGTAAATACATAACATTAAAAGGGTCACTGTCAGCACAGCGACTACAGATATGTACCCTAGGTATGTACCCAATGTACATATCTGTATCCAGAAATGTACTCTAAACGAAGTCAAAATACAGAAACGCATCTATGTTCCCTAAACAATGGACGAGCTGTAATATTCTTGCATGAAAGTGGTGGACGAAGTTTATAAGTCAGAATACAGAAACGCATCTATGTTCCTGCAAAACGGTGGATCTTTGAGTCCATATTCTGGCAAGAAGTGGTGGATCGAAGTCTATAAGTCAAAAATACAGAAACGCATCTTCATGTTCCTAAACAGTGGACAAGTCCATATCTCCATGAAGTTGTGGACGAAGTCTATAAGTCAAAATACAGAAACGCACTATGTTCCCTAAATGGTGGATGAGTCCATATTCTGCAACCCAAAACTGAAACCATTTGTAGTTGTTCTCGTTCAGCTGATTGCAAGTGATACTGTGCATCGCGAAATATTCATTACAGTGTTTGCTCGTTTCTCATGTAACCTAATCAAATGCATCTACAGTTTGACGGTTGCAGAGCCAAAAAAGAAGCTTTTCACAATGGAATAGACTTGTCCTGTATTCTGATTTTGGCAAGGGTACATCTCTGTATACAGGTACCTTGGATAGACATGTGTAGTACTCATACCGACGACCCCTTCAGCATAAATAACTGTAGGTCACACCAGTTGTCAGGATAATATGATGTACCTAACTTGCTACAATGAAAGACAGAGAGGTTTAAACCTTAATCTTTTAGAGAAAGTCAAACAATGAGCAAGTCCGCCAACTAACATGATGTTTTACATACATTTGTGTATGTTTGTACTGCTTTTCACCACACCTCCTATAAGAGAATAAGCTTGGGTTAAATCAGCCAGTTTTGATACATCAGCAAGTTCCCTCCAATATCATAATTGTTACATAATGAAATTGTTAGCAAGAAAAGAATATATATCATATTAATACATAACTTTATCAGTCTGAGTTGCATCCCTTAACTGTGCGAGGATCAATTCATGATCTCATGATCTCCTCTTGTGTGCCAGGATCCAGGTATCTCTGTGACCCAGCAGCCAGGAACCTACCCTGAATTTTAAAGAATGTCCCCCATGCACGTACCAATATCTTCTTCATGAAGGGATTGAGGATGATATTTTCATCAAAGCTGACAATGGATCAAATCTCATTGGCAAGGTAATTCTGAATTTTTAAAGAATTGTCTCATGAACACATTTATCAACCAGCCAGCCAGTGCACTAATATCTTCTTCAGCTGAATGGTTTGAGGTTATTGTTATGTTAAAACTGAAAATATGAAATATATACATGTCATTCTTTTTATTAACATGACCCGTTTTGGTTATGATTAGGACATTGGCAACACTCCATGTGCTATACATGTTCTCCACTTTAAGCAGATGGTGTATACCTTATACATTCTACATGTCCTCCATCCCATGTGTCTACACCTATGTTCTACATGTCCTCCACACCTGTGTTCTACATGTCCTTGACACCTGTGTTCTACATGTCCTCTACACCTGTATGCTATGTGTCTTCCTCCCCTGGATCCTCCACACCTGTGTTCTACATGTCCCTCCACACCTGTGTTCTCCCTCTCTACACATGTCATCTACACCTGTATGCTATGTGTCTTCCTCCCCTGATCCCTCCACACCTGTGTTCTACATGTCATGTCATCTACACCTGTATGCTACGGGTCTTCCTCCCTGATCCTCCACACTCTGTGTGTTCTACATGTCCCTCTACACCTGTATGCTGTCCCCACTCCCAAGCACTGTCCGGTTCCTCCTCCCCTGGATCCTCCACACCTGTGTTCCTACATGTCCTCTACACCTGTATGTTATGCCACCTGTCTTCCTCTCCCTGGATCCTCCACACCTGTGTGTTCTACATGTCCTCTTACACCTGTATGCTACAGTGTCTTCCTCCCCTGGATCCCTCCACAGTATCCTCCACACCTGTGTTCTACATGTCCTCTATTTGTGTTGTAGGTGTGGCCAGGTTCCTATGACTGTGTTCCCGACTTCTTCCATCCCAACAGTTCGGAATGGTGGTTCCGGGATCCTCCTCAAGCGGGGTTCCACATGTCCCTCTATTTGTGGGCTGTATGCAGTGGTATGACTGTGTTGATCTCCTTCCATCCCAACAGTCATGGTGGTTCCGGCCAAGCTGGCATGATCAGGTTCCCTATGACGGTTCTCTGGGTGGTCAGTAGAACCTCTGCCTAGCAAAGATTAAGATCTTTTAGTTTTCACTGCTTCACAAGCTTCTGACAAACTCAGGGATATATTTGGAATAACTCATGATATTTACCCACACATTTTCACTGAAATGATAAGACATGTATATAATGCATAAAAAAGTCCACTGGACATTTTAATAGGAAAGTTTTTACAATACTGCTGTGTGATGGTTTATCTAGTCCAGGTCCGACATCATACAGCTGTGATGTAACTGTAATCACTGTGAAGTGAATTGGCTGTGCTATAGCTGTAATGTGTGTCATGTCACTCTACATTCACCATGTCGCAATCATTTTATTTTGCCCCTGAAAATGTTTTTCTTAATACCTTACATTATTTTTATCATAAACCTGAATACTAAATACAGTGCAACTGCCATTTTTTTTAACTTTCAAAAAGGATTTTAGCATGAAATCTTTTCACAAACAGACAGCTCCATAAAAAATCAAATCACATACCTTACGATAATAGAGAAATGTCATTTTGAGCTGATTCATGATGCTGAACAACATTAGAAAGAATCTAGTTTTCCACCTGTGCCATTAAAAACATAAATTTAGGAGTTTAATATGTGTAATCATTTCTTCCAGGACATGAATGAGCCGTCGAACTTCGTGACTGGTTCCATTACGGGCTGCACCAGCAACTCCCTCGACAACCCCCCCTTTGTGCCCCCCAGTGAGTCTTCCCCCACCACTGATGACTTCATAAAGACCTTGGGTCTATAAAGGCCATGATGTATATGCATAAACACAAGTATTCATATGTAGTAACCCATTCTCATTAATGTTAGGGTGATATTTTGACTCCATTTATAGATCATAACAATAGTATCTACACAAACGGAGACCGCCTCCGTGGTGTGTTGGTTGTGTCCACCCCGGAAGTGTCCACCGGAAGGAAGGTTGTGGGTTCGATCCCTAACGCATCATACCAAAAGACGTTAAAATATGGTACTTGTTGGTCCCTGCCTGGCGCTCGGCATTAATGGGTACAACAAGGACTGGTTGGCTCGGAGTCAGTATAATGGGTCTGAGTGGGGTATTCATGCTTCACTGCGGAATGGTATCTCAGTGGGCTAGCACTATAAAACCAGCTTCAGTCTGGGCTAGTACAAGCAGCCGCACATACACATACACACGCATGCACGTCGTCATATGAGCAAAGTATTCTCAAGCACGACGTAAAACCCAATTTCACCTCACCTCACACAAACGGACGGTTACAGTACTTACAAAGACATGATCCAAGTACAATGTCATCCTTTAATGACACTGTAGAATAGTTTAAACAGTCTGTCTTCAACATTACCAGGTGAATATTTGTGTTTTGCTTCATGTGCATGATACATTCCTTGACTTCCTCTGTGTTCCCACCACAGCTATCGATGGGTCGAGCCTGATGGCATCGACTGTGTGTCCATCCGGGCCAGACAAAGCATCTCCACCCACTACAACCTGCACAACATGTACGGACTCAGCGAGATGAAGGTGACCAGCAGGTGAGGGTCAGCTTCAATTGTTGGGATGGGTTATGGCTCACATGCTTTCCTGTAGGATGACACACTCACTCGCTAGTGAAGTAATTGCTTGCATATTGGCATGATTCAGACATGTGACACTATCCATCCATTTGTATCCTGAACGGAGTGAGTGAGTTTAGTTTTACGCCACTTTTAGCAATATTCCAGCAATATTACGGTGGGGGACACCAGAAATGGGCTTCACATATTGTGCCTATGTGGGGAATAGAACATGGGTCTTCGGTGTGACAATTGAATGCTTTAACCACTAGGCTACCCCACAGCCCCTCCTGAACAGAAACATAGAGAGCAACGGTGCAGTTGCCCTACAGTCAAAAGTAGTTGACCTTGTAATGGCAGGTCTATTTACATCAGACCAGTAAATTCTAATTAGGGGTGGTAAAGGTTTTTAAAATGCAGTCTCTATACTGCCACAATAGTGTTTTCCCCAGGTGATTCTGGAGCAGAATATGTCTCTAGTATCTAGAAACCATTGAAGCAGGATTAGCTGAATGATGTTTGCACCCAGGTGCTCATGCTATCAGTCACTGCTTTCACTTGCCATATTTGCGGCAGTGGCTGAGTGGGTTAGATAGCTGACTTTGTGTGCTGGCGATTAGGTGCCTGACTCTGAGAGTGTGGGTTCAAATCCTGGATTGGACTCAACCTGACAAAGGTACAAGAATCTGTAATTACCTGACAAAGGTACAAGAATCTGTAATTACCTGACAAAGGTACAAGAATCTGTAATTACCTGACAAAGGTACAAGAATCTGTAATTACCTGACAAAGGTACAAGAATCCGTAATTAACTGACAAAGTTACAAGAATCAGTTATTACCTGACAAAGGTACAAGAATCTGTAATTACCTGACAAAGTGTAATCCCAAATATAACATATGTTGCATTTCACCGTTTTCTAAATGGTGCTTTGTATGCCGCTATGATGTAGCTTACATGTAGTGACCAGTTACATTGTACACAACCTCTTGTACATGCTATGTTAAATTCTTCTTCAAACTGTCAAATGGAGAAAACCTTGTTAGGATTCTGGATTTTATTTTTGAATGCCTCCAGCATAATATGTTGGTCATCAGAGGTGACTACAAGGATCTTGGGTACATGTTTGATCATGTGTCCAGTGTTTGCCATGACTCAGAAAACCTGCGTATTTGACGAACAAATTTTCTCAGATACCCAGTGAATTTAGAAGCTTGCGTCATTGTTGCCGCAATGCTACTGGGCCCTTTGTTCAGATAATCTTAACTTCTGAAACTAAATTTTATCCAGTAAACTGCCCAGTGCTGATTAAATATCTGACTTGTATTACCCTGTTTTTGTCGTTATTAAACAATCACAGTTGATGTCTTGATGAAAGTTCCAAACTGAAGTTGACTGAAGAACATGTCCATGACTCCCTCTGTTGATGACTCCTAAATTTTTATGCCTAGGGCAAACACTGTGTGTTATTGTACCTCGACACCATTATATCAATGACTGTGTTGTCTGATCCACACTACCCGTGAAGGTCCGGGTTAGAATGAACCTTCAGTAACCCATGCTTGTCGTAAGAGGCGACTAACGGGATCGGGTGGTCAGGCTCGCTGACTTGGTTGACACATGTCATCCATTCCCAATTGCTCAGATTGATGCTCATGCTGTTGATCACTGGATTATCTGGTCCAGACTCAATTATTTACAGACCGCCGCCATATAGCTGGAATATTGCCGAGTGCGGCGTTATTTACTGACCTTTGTGATACTGCTGGAATATTGCTGAGTGAGGTGTTATTTACTGACCTTTGTGATACTGCTGGAATATTGCTGAGTGTGGCGTTATTTACTGACCTTTGTGATATTGCTGGAATTTTGCTGAGTGTGGCATTATTTACTGACCTTTGTGATACTGCTGGAATAATGCTGAGTGTGGCGTTATTTACTGACGTGCTGTGATACTGCTGGAATATTGCGCGTATGGCGTTATTTACTGACCTTTGTGATGCTGCTGGAATATTGCTGAGTGTGGCGTTATTTACTGACCTTTGTGATATTGCTGGAATATTGCTGAGTGTGGCGTTATTTACTGACCTTTGTGATATTGCTGGAATATTGCTGAGTGTGGCGTTATTTACTGACCTTTGTGATATTGCTGGAATATTGCTGGAGTGTGGCGTTATTTACTGACCTTTGTGATATTGCTGGAATATTGCTGGAGTGTGGCGTTATTTACTGACCTTTGTGATATTGCTGGAATATTGCTGGAGTGTGGCGTTATTTACTGACCTTTGGTGATACTGCTGGAATATTGCTGGAGTGTGGCATTATTTACTGACCTTTGTGATATTGCTGGAATATTGCTGAGTGTGGCGTTATTTACTGACCTTTGTGATATTGCTGGAATATTGCTGGAGTCTGGCGTTATTTACTGACCTTTGTGATATTGCTGGAATATTGCTGAGTGTGGCGTTATTTTACTGACCTTGTGATACTGCTGGAATAATGCTGAGTGTGGCGTTATTTACTGACCTTTGTGATACTACTGGAATATTGCCGTGTGGCGTTATTTACTGACCTTTGTGATACTGCTGGAATATTGCTGAGTGTGGCGTTATTTACTGACCTTTGTGATATTGCTGGAATATTGCTGAGTGTGGCGTTATTTACTGACCTTTGTGATACTGCTGGAATATTGCTGAGTGTGGCTATTTACTGACCTTTGTGATATTGCTGGAATATTGCTGAGTGTGGCGTTATTTACTGACCTTTGTGATATTGCTGGAATATTGCTGAGTGTGGCGTTATTTACTGACCTTTGTGATATTGCTGGAATATTGCTGAGTGTGGCGTTATTTACTGACCTTTGTGATATTGCTGGAATATTGCTGAGTGTAAGCGTTATTTACTGACCTTTGTGATATTGCCGGAATATTGCTGGAGTGTGGCGTTATTTTACTGACATTTGTGATATTGCTGGAATATTGCTGGGAGTGTAGCGTTATTTACTGACCTTTGTGATATTGCTGGAATATTGCTGAGTGTGGCGTTATTTACTGACCTTTGTGATATTGCTGGAATATTGCTGGAGTGTGGCGCTATTTACTGACCTTTGTGATATTGCTGGAACATTGCTGAGTGTGTGGCGTTATTTACTGACCTTTGTGATATTGCTGGAATATTGCTGAGTGTGTATGGCGTTATTTACTGACCTTTGTGATACTGCTGGAATATTGCTGAAGCGCGGTATTAAACAGCTACAAATAACGCATACAATATATAGCAAGCATATACCGCTTCCTAACAGTGTGTTGAAGAAGTTACTGAACAAGAAGTGTAGTTTTGTGTTGTCTCGGTCCAACATTCCCCAGCTGGTGGTGTGTACGGCACCCATTGGCTGGGAGACAACCTCTCTAGTTGGGATGACTCCATACTTACTTCCATCCCAGGTAAGTCCTGCATCCGGGCATGAAGAAGGGGTGTAGAAGTATGCACCCCTTCTTTGAAGCCCCCTAACATTTATACAATTGGCAGTCCTACCGATTCCAGATAAGTCCTTAAGTCTCCAGCAATCTGAGAAGGTGGTTTTCAGAGACTGCTGTTGTACTTAGGACCGTTCATAATTTTATAGCTAGGGGTGATGATGATTGTTATGGAGAAGCATGTACAATTTGAATGCACCCCACCACCCCAATTTATGTACAAAGTAAGTCCTGTCAAAAATGATCCCCTACCCCCAGAACAAACTGGGTGACCCCATTCAAACCTAAAAATCATCATCACCCCATCAAGAGTTGTGCCTGGAGTCTGTCTCCACAAGAATCTACTGATCTGATAAGCTCCTAAATGCAAGCATATCATGATCTGTGGTATTTCAAATGTATTTAGTTACACTAAAGCTGTTAAAGTTCACCTTTCCTTTTAGATCAGACTGACATGCCATAATAACACTAAACCCTATGTCAGAGCAACAATGAAAATTCGTGGTATGGGGGATAGAAAGCAGTTCTACCCTAGAACAGTATGTAATAATTTGATCCCAGCTGGGTCATAAACAAAACAATAATAGCTGGGTACTTCTTGCTATGTGACTATAGACTGGCATGAAGGGAATAAGATGAGGAGGCCAGGTTGGTTCAGACAACAAAACATTTGGTAGATATGGTTGCTCAGTTACTAGTACTAGAACCTTGAACAGAAGTACAATGGTGCACCCCATTCACCTGACATCATCTCAACGCCACTCATCCAGTTCAACTCTAGTCAACAAAGCAGCATAAATTTGAGAAAGCTTCAAAATAATCAATATTATAGCTAAAATACATGGAATTATCATGAAGCGGCCCTCCCTTTATCAGAAAATTTGCGGGCAGCTGCAAATGATATTGGACAGCTCAACCTTAGCGACAGGCCACATCAGTTCTGTTGTCAAGTGACATCATAATGGGTGCGTTGGCTTCACGGTTCATTCAACATTAATTGGCTTTTGACTGGCAGATATTCTGGATCAAACAAGTCAAAGCAACCCGAATTTCCGCTTTAAATAGTGGTTATATTGGCTTTCTTGCTGGTGCTAACCTTAACAGTTGCACTATTAAGCGTTGTTGTTGGACCAAAACCGAACACTGACATAGTTTGACATGTTGCAGGCTATGGTCTTGTCAAAGGCCAAGGTCGAATATCGTCACTTTCTGTTGTGACGTCACTTGAATTGTTCGATGACGTAATTGCATTCGGGCAGTCAACCCTGTCAGAAGTTGATTTGGGTAAACTTACTGTCAAATTCCTTCATTGTTTCCTTTTTCTTTCAACACAAATTCCATGTATGTTAGCAATAATATTGGTAATGCTATTTTTTTAGGGCATTATCATTTGCAGAAGCCAACGGTCTTTTTCAACTGCCCTCCTTCGTCGGGCAGTTAATGGAAGACCTCAGGCTTCTGCAAATGATAATGCCCTCAAAAATAGCATTACCCTTATATTAGACTAGTACAAGCAGCCACAAACACATGCAAGTTGTTGTATGCATGCAGTAATCATGATCACAACATTAAACACCACTCACCTCTCCTCCGAAGAATATAAATCCAACTTTTCACAAGGATTTGGATAATATACATAGAATTTTGACAATGTTTCAGGTATTTTGAATTTCCAAATGTTTGGAATCCCATTTGTTGGCGTTGACATCTGTGGTTTCCGTGAAGACACTACTGCTGAGCTGTGTACTCGGTGGATGCAGGTTGGAGCTTTCTACCCCTTCATGCGGAACCACAACAGCGGGAAGATGGTATGCCACCTAGTTAATGTACACAACAGTGGGAAGATGGTATACCACCTAGTTAATGTACACAACAGTGGGAAGATGGTATACCACCTAGTTAATGTACACAACAGTGGGAAGATGGTATACCACCTAGTTAATGTACACAACAGTGGGAAGATGGTATACCACCTAGTTAATGTACACAACAGAGGGAAGATGGTACACCACCTGGTTAATGTACACAACAGTGGGAAGATGGTATACCACCTAGTTAATGTACACAACAGTGGGAAGATGGTATACCACCTGGTTAATGTACACAACAGTGGGAAGATGGTACACCACCTAGTTAATGTACACAACAGTGGGAAGATGGTATACCACCTAGTTAATGTAATAATAACAGAGGGAAGATGGTACACCACCCAGTTAATGTACACAACAGTGGGAAGATGGTATACCACCTAGTTAATAATACACAACAGAGGGAAGATGGTACACCACCTGGTTAATGTAATACAACAGAGGGAAGATGGTATACCACCCAGTTAATGTACACACAACAGCGGGGAAGATGGTATACCACCTAGTTAATGCATAACAACAGTGGGAAGATGGTATACCACCTAGTTAATGTACACAACAGTGGGAAGATGGTATACCACCCTAGTTAATGTACACAACAGTGGGAAGATGGTATACCACCTAGTTAATGTACAGGACAGTGGGAAGATGGTATACCACCTGGTTAATGCACACAACAGAGGGAAGATGGTATACCACCTAGTTAATGTACAGGACAACAGTGGGAAGATGGTATACCATCTGGTTGATGTACAGGACAGTGGGAAGATGGTATACCACCCAGTTAATGCACACAACAGTGGGAAGATGGTAAGCCACCCAGTTAATGCACACACAACAGAGGGGAAGATGGTATACCATTTTAGTTAATGTACACAACAGAGGGAAGATGGTATACCACCCAGTTAATGTACACAACAGAGGGAAGATGGTATACCACCGAAGTTAATGTACAGGACAGTTGGAAGATGGTACACCACCTAGTCAATGTACACAACAGTGGGAAGATGGTATACCACCCTAGTTAATGCAATAACAACAGTGGGAAGATGGTATACCACCCAGTTAATGTACACAACAGTGGGAAGATGGTTCCACCCTGGTTAATGCACACAACAGCCGGAAGATGGTACACACCACCCAGTTAATGTACACAACAGTGGAAGATGGTATACCACCTAGTTAATGCACACAACAGAGGGAAGATGGTACACCACCTAGCTAATGTAATAACAACAGTGGGAAGATGGTATACCAACCTAGTTAATGTACACAACAGAGGGAAGATGGTATACCACCTAGTTAATGAACACAACAGTGGGAAGATGGTATACCACCTAGTTAATGTACACAACAGAGGGAAGATGGTACACCACCTAGTTAATGTACACAGGACAGTGGGAAGATGGTATACCACCCTAGTTAATGCACACAACAGAGGGAAGATGGTATACCACCCAGTTAATGCAATAATAACAGTGGGAAGATGGTATACCACCTAGTTAATGTACACAACAGTGGGAAGATGGTACACCACCTAGTTAATGTACACAACAGCGGGAAGATGGTACACCACCTAGTTAATGCACACAACAGTGGGAAGATGGTATACCATTTAGTTAATGTACAGGACAGTGGGAAGATGGTATACCACCTAGTTAATGTATACAACAGTGGGAAGATGGTATACCACCTAGTTAATGCATACAACAGTGGGAAGATGGCATACCACCCAGTTAATGCACACAACAGTGGGAAGATGGTACACCACCTAGTTAACAGTGCAGTTAATACAACAACAGTGGGAAGATGGTATACCACCTAGTTAATGTAATAATAACAGTGGGAAGATGGTACACCACCTAGTTAATGTAATAATAACAGTGGGAAGATGGCATGTACCACCCAGTTAATGTATACAACAGTGGGAAGATGGTATACCACCTAGTTAATGCACACAACAGAGGGAAGATGGTACACCACCCAGTTAATGTAACACAACAGTAGGGAAGATGGTACACCACCCAGTTAATGTACACAACAGTGGGAAGATGGTATGCCATTTAGTTAATGTACAGGACAGTGGGAAGATGGTATACCACCCAGTTAATGCATACAACAGTGGGAAGATGGTATACCACCTAGTTAATGCATACAACAGTGGGAAGATGGTACACCACCCAGTTAATGTACACAACAGTGGGAAGATGGTATACCACCTAGTTAATGTACACAACAGTGGGAAGATGGTACACCACCTAGTTAATGTACACAACAGTGGGAAGATGGTACACCACCTAGTTAATGTTACATGGGAAGATAGTTAATGTATGCAACAGTGGGAAGTACGGTAATAACTCACCCAGTTAATGTAATAATAACAGAAAGACCACCCAGTTAATGTATACAACAGTGGGAAGATGGTATACCACCTAGTTAATGTAATAATAACAGTGGGAAGATGGTATACCAACCTAGTTAATGTACACAACAGTGGGAAGATGGTATACCACCCAGTTAATGTACACAACAGTGGGAAGATGGTACACCACCCAGTTAATGTAATGCAATACAACAGTGGGAAGATGGTATACCACCCAGTTAATGCATACAACAGTGGGAAGATGGTACACCACCTAGTTAATGTACACAACAGAGGGAAGATGGTATACCACCCAGTTAATGTAACAATAACAGTGGTAGATGGTATACCACCCAGTTAATGTACACAACAGTGGGAAGATGGTATACCACCCAGTTAATGTATACAACAGTGGAAGATGGTACACCACCCAGTTAATGTATACACAACAGAGGGAAGATGGCATACCACCCAGTTAATGTACACAACAGTGGGAAGATGGTATACCACCTAGTTAATGTACACAACAGTGGGAAGATGGTATACCACCTAGTTAATGTACAATAACAGTGGGAAGATGGTAGTACCACCCAGTTAATGTACACAACAGTGGGAAGATGGTACACCACCTAGTTAATGCATAACAACAGTGGAAGATGGTATACCAACCACCAACAGGAGTTAATGTACACAACAGAGGGAAGATGGCACACCACCACCTAGTTAATGTACACAACAACAGTGGGGAAGATGATATACCACCCAGTTAATGCACACAACAGAGGGAAGATGGTATACCACCCAGTTAAATGTACACAACAGTGGGAAGATGGTATACCACCCAGTTAATGTACAAATAACAGAGG